TCAACTTCTTTTCATTTTATATTTCATACGGTTTTGCTTTTTTAGTTGAAAACAATAAAAACCGTAGTAAATATATATACAATATCGTCGGCCGGTGGAGATTTAATAAGAGAGTAAAGAAGATGATGCCGACACAAACCAAAAGGTTAATCCGATAGAATGAAATGCAAATTATAAGATTAGTTAATTTAAATAATTTACAAAAGAATTTTATTTATCTAGTGGCAGTGTTTATTCCAAAAAAGTTTTATTATGATAGGAGCAATCCAAAACAAAATTATTTATGTTATAAAATCGTTATTTACATGAAATAATCGAGTTGGTCCAGTTGTTTTCGTTCATCAGATGTAGAATTGTTGCAATTATCATTTACAACAACTATTTCTCAGTACTAAAGTTATCATTTACAAAACAAATAAAATTGTTAAAATGTCACGTAATTAGCTCAAATTATAAAGAGTTTTGCTTTGATATTTAGATATTATAGCAAAAAGCCAATAATTTTTTTTTTGCTTTATTAGTTTAATTTTCAAAAAAAAAAAAATAATTAGATAACTAAAATTTATTAAAAAAATATTGTTATTTTATTGCTAATTAAGATACTCTTGAGTATCTTAACCAATGGAAATGTTTTAAGAGAGTTTGTGTGTAAAGTCACGTCAAAATCCTGTTTTAATATCCCATTGGAAATGCTCTTTGAATCTAAAAATACAAGTTTTGATTGGTTATCTTTTATCACAGCGGCAAGGGATGTACCATTTTCATCCTAGTTAATTATAAAAGCGGTATCAAAAACAATACAAAACACTATTCATGTATCACTTACTATACCGTTTTGAATTACCAATCCGATCAACAAACTAATATTCATTTTAGTTGAGAATAGTATTTTCTCTGTATGAAAATGATATTTTAGTTTGTTCTTATCATTTTTGTCCAACAAAAACAAAAACAAAAACAAAATTGTTCTTATCATTATTATTTGGGTAATGTTTCTGTCTGCTATGATATTTATATTTAGAGTTCAATGTTCAGACTTCAGAGTATGTTGCCAAAAAAAAGCCAGGTGATGGATGCATCTGAAATATTCAAATTTGGATCTCGTGAATCCTTCACATCAATACAGCGATTAATTTCTTATATGATTTTTATTATTTGTATAGTGAAACAAAATAATGTGATGATAGTACTTGTAGACAATGTGCAACTCCTGAATCGAGACGCTACATGCATGTATGAATATCGATCTTGGAATCTTCTTCATTTTTAATATTTTTTCTTGCATTACCTTAATTACTCTTGTCGGGTGTCCAAAATCCAAAACTCCAAACTCAGATTTTGCATCTCGTTGTATTTTGTTTAATACAGTTTCATTGTCACGGAGTATATATTTCATGCATGGACAAACATTTTCTTGTAACTGATACGGTGGTGAAATAATAACACTATTGTAAACAAAGTTAAAAGTAATCAGTTAATACAAATATGAGCTTTCTCCTATTATTTTTGATAGTTGAACGATATACACAAAAAAGGAACCTATGTAATTTTCACTTACATTGTTAAACTACACTGATTTAGAAAATGATGCTACTAAGAATAAAAAAACTAGTTACATTTTAGAAAACAACATATTTTGGAATAAGGTTTCAAATGGTGGTAACTGACAACACTTTGAATAGTACGAGATAAACGGTTATAAAAGTGTAATACAGTTTTATTATGGTACGGTTAAAAAATGCTTCATGTGTAATAAGCAGTGCGGATCAATATATAATTGGTAAAAAAAACATCATGCGGTATATTTTATAGAGTAGAGGGTTCGATTCAAGTTCGAGTTCTCTGATATGATATAAAGTCGAAGTGGATGGTTGGATTCGAGTTCTCTCTTCTTGTTAGGTCTGGGAATCGAGAAATAAGGTTAAGGTTACATGTCGTGACTTATCCCAGTAGAAAAGTTCTGAGATTCGGCGGAACCGCTAACTCCAGTCAAGAGATCGAGGTCATATTATTTGCTTCAATGGAGTCGTGTCGGGGTTTGGTAGTACAGATTTTGTGTTTCTGTTATACGCTCATTTAAAAAAAAGTTATGCCGGTTTTCCGATTTGGATCTGGTCTCTTTTGTAACCATTTATTTTGAACAAGCAACAATGGTCCAAAATCCATTGAAAAAAAATTAAAATACAGTTATTAAAAACAAATGAAATTGTAAGAGTAGTGAAAAAAAAAACTAAATTTGTGTAAGGGCTTAATTAACGTGGAAATTGAGCAGACAGAGGAAATTAGTTTAGGAAGCGAGAATCACGCTTCAATTTAGAGACCGAGATGTATGGAGCCACGTTGAAACATATCACCTCTCCTTGGATTTTCTTTGTTTTATTAGATCAATCCTTTTTTTTAATAATAATTCAAGGGTGAATTGCAAAAGTAACCATTTTGAAGAAAGTTATTAAATATATAGCACTATAAAGGAGATAATATAGTGAGTAGCACAAGTAGGTATTGAAAAGACTAGAAACTCCTTCTCACTCATTAGAATGGAGATATGACGCACGTGAAGAAGTATGAGAAATTAAAGAGATTGGATGATGTGGCTTCGTTTGTATCTAAGTAAATTTCACAAAATAGAATAGTACAAAATTATAAGTCAAATAAAAAAAATTATTTCTCACAAATCTCTTAAATGGGTCAAAACAACTCTACCCAATTCGCTTAGGTTCAATTCAAACAAAAAATTTAAAATTTATCTCGCTTTTTCTCTTTTTTTTGTTCAACAATGGTTGTTTCTTTTTTGTATTTATATCTTGACAATATTTTAATTATTTTTAATTAGAAAAAACTAAACCCTAAGAGAGAATAAAGAACCCAAGCAACAATTTTATAAATTCTCTGATGAAATTTTTAGTCTAGTTTGTAAGATTAACAAAATTATCAATAATAATGATGAGATTTCAGAAAAGATACTTGTTAAGTTGATGTAGACAAAGAAATAAGAGTTTAGAGATGAGAGATAAAGACGAGAAGAGGAGAGGAAGAAATTTACAATGAATAAAGGGGTAAGATAGTCTTAATATAGAAGATACATAGAATATCACATCAGAGTTTTTTTTAGGTTAGTTTCTTAATTATTAAATTTTTGTCGGTTATAGTTCCAAATTTCCCATAATTCAATCTCTTTAAGTTTATTGCTTTATTGGTCACCGCATTAATTCTCAAACAACGTAATATCAAAGATATCTGGTCCATGTGAGCATAAATTTTCCAGATATTGTATTCAATTTTAATTTTGCTGCCCATAAAAAAATAAAAATGGCGAAAGAAATTAGTGTTTGCAATGTTTGAAAGAGATACACACATAATTCTCAAACAAAAACTGATTGACAATTTAATTTCCAATAACATTACTGGAGAGAAATATATGTATTTGTTTTATAAAGCTATATCTATTGTTTATGAAAGTATCTCACTATTGGAGACATAACCCAAATAAATTTATCTATTTTTACACAAGGAACCATTTTGTTTTAAGCTGTCAAAAAAAAAAGAACCATTTTGTTTTAATTCAATTAATAGGAAGTATATATGAATGAAATGTCTATTTAAAATTTTAAAGTTATCTATATATATATATATATATATATATAAAAAGACTAAAAATATATATTTATAGATATAATTTTAAAGAACCAAATAAAGCTCTTTCAGTCATTTTCAAACAATACGTTAATCATTTTTTTATTTTGTTTCACAATTACATTATAAAATATAAAATTTATAACGCGTAGATAAAAAATATATATTGTGCATTATAGTTTTTTCTCGAATTTTTTATAAAAAATTATATTATAATTGACGGTGTCAAAACAAACTAACTCACTCAATTCAACCCATCATAAGTTTGTATTTAAGTTTTAACTATATATTTACTTTTAACTCAAATAAATAAATTAATATCTCAGATATCCTATTTTTGATTTGTACATATAACTGAGTTTTCCACATATGCCTTAATATCGTATTATGAATAATTTAATTATATAATACATTTTATTGGCAGAAAGTGAAAAACGCCAACTTTCTAAGCTCTTCGAAAAGAAAAAGCTTATTTTCTTCCTTTTCTCAGCAAAAAAACGCCAATGTCTTTTTTGGTTTTTACTCCTTTTATAAACTTTTGCCTAAACCGATTAATGAATAGTTTTTGTTATGGTTTTCAATGGTAACACAAAAAAAAAAAATTCAACTGAATTAAAGCAGATTCCGTAACTTTACAGTCACCATTTGTAAAACTAGATTCAATTGAGTCAAAAATTATAGATCAAAATTATTTTTTAAAAGTAAATCAGATTATACAGATATGATATATGAATAATTCAGATACATAAAATCACCACCAGAACATAAAAGACAGAAATTTGGGTTTGATTGGTAACAGCTTTACAAAGCTGTACAAAACTTTATAAAACATACAGTTTTGACAGTTACCAATCACAAAAACTTTATCAAAAGCGTTACAAACAGTTTTATTCTCAGCTTTTTTGTACAGCTTTCTCGTACAGCTCTTTCATACAGTTTTGCACTATTCCGGTAAAGCTTACAGCTCCAGCTAACAGCTAAAAAACTTCTACAGCTTTTGGTTACCAATCAGACCATTTATGTTCGGATACATATAGTTTTGGATATTCTAATAACTTTTAGATAATATAAATTTTTAGCTGAATTGAGCTGAAAATTACTAAAAATTTGGTCAAATTCAGCAATTTAACCAAATTCAGTCTGATTCATTACTATTTAGATCCTATAAAATTTTAATGACTAAGCAATTTTATCATAACCGGTTCATACAGTTAGATTAAAAAAAATATCGGTTATTGTAAAAAGAACCGCAAAATCATTTTCTACTATTTATATCATCGTTTAGTGTTCCACAAAACTTATCAACAACCATAAGTTAAAGAGGGTTCTGTTCTATAAACCCCTCCCTCTCTCTCTCCTTCATTACACTGTAGAGTGTTAAAAGTTTCACTCTATAGCCATGGCTTCTTCTTCTTCATCTCTAGCTTTTTCTCTTACTCTTCTTCTAGCTCTAATCCTCTGTTTCTCACCCACACAATCCTCCAAAACCATCGGCAAAGGCTACCGTTTGATATCCATCGAAGAATCTCCAGATGGTGGTTTCATTGGTTATCTCCAAGTCAAACAAAAGAACAAAATCTACGGCTCTGATATCACCACTCTTCGTCTCTTCGTCAAGTAAAACCAATCCTCTGTTACGCACCCTACATTACTTACCAAACTCTTCTTGATTTCTAACCGTTGGATTTGTTTTCTTTTTCACAGGCACGAAACAGATTCACGTCTTCGTGTTCACATCACAGACGCGAAACAACAACGATGGGAAGTTCCATACAATCTCCTCCCGCGAGAACAACCACCACAAGTCGGAAAAGTCATCGGAAAATCAAGAAAATCTCCAATCACAGTTCAAGAAATCTCCGGATCCGAACTTATCTTCAGTTACACAACAGATCCATTCACTTTCGCCGTGAAACGTAGATCTAACCATGAAACACTCTTCAACACCTCAAGCTCATTAGTATTCAAAGATCAATACCTAGAGATCTCAACTTCATTACCAAAAGAAGCATCACTCTATGGTTTAGGTGAAAACTCACAAGCTAATGGTATCAAACTCGTACCTAACGAGCCTTATACTCTTTACACTGAAGATGTTTCGGCTATTAATCTTAATACTGATCTTTATGGTTCGCATCCGATGTATATGGATCTAAGAAACGTTGGAGGTAAAGCTTATGCTCATGCTGTGTTGTTGCTTAATAGTAATGGTATGGATGTTTTCTATAGAGGTGATTCGTTGACGTATAAAGTTATCGGAGGTGTTTTTGATTTCTATTTCATCGCCGGACCTTCGCCGTTAAATGTTGTTGATCAGTATACTCAGTTAATCGGAAGGCCTGCTCCAATGCCGTACTGGTCTTTAGGTAAGTTCATTTATTGCTCTGTTTTTGTTTTTAGTTCTCTCTCTTGTCTTAATGTTTTGTGGTAATTACTAAAAGGTTAGTGATTATGTTTGTGGTCCTGTAGTGTTTTAAGTGTTAATGATGAGTGTTAGTATCGATTCAGGTTCCTATGAGTTTGACTTGTAGTCAAACGAAGAGTCACGTGAATATAGATTTTGTGTATCGTTTCTAATAGTAATCACTATTTTATTAATGTTCCATTAGTGTTGAAATGGCACATGGTGGAAGGAAATTTTCATTGTAAAGAGTATCTGATTTTCCGACACAACTTTTAGAATAGAAAAAGCTTTACCCTTTTTTTGTGGGATATTGCAAAAATAATGAAAAGTGTCGTTATCTAATTATGGTGTTTCCAATTAAAAGATAAGATTGAGAGATTGGTCTTTGCTTTCCATTTTTGTAGATCGGTTGAAAAATTGAATATGATTATTGCGATTTTATTTGGTCCCTATAGGATCTTGAAATTGGACCATTATAGACATGGACCACGGTTCTTGATTTGAGTTGAAAATAAATGCAAATCTTGATTTTGCCATGTGATAGATTTATAAGCCCATATTTGTTTTATACTAATTTGTTTTTATTAATTTTGTGTTTGTAGGATTTCATCAATGTAGATGGGGATATCATAATTTATCAGTTGTTGAAGATGTGGTGGATAATTACAAAAAGGCTAAGATTCCTCTTGATGTGATTTGGAACGATGATGATCACATGGATGGTCACAAAGATTTCACTTTGAATCCTGTGGCGTATCCTCGTGCCAAGTTATTGGCGTTCTTGGACAAAATCCACAAGATTGGGATGAAGTATATTGTGATTAATGATCCTGGTATTGGTGTCAACGCTAGCTACGGTACATTTCAAAGAGCCATGGCCGCTGATGTGTTTATCAAGTATGAAGGAAAGCCTTTCTTGGCTCAAGTGTGGCCTGGTCCGGTTTACTTCCCTGATTTCCTTAACCCGAAGACGGTTTCTTGGTGGGGCGATGAAATCAAACGCTTCCATGATTTAGTCCCTATTGATGGTCTATGGATTGACATGAACGAGGTGTCGAACTTTTGTTCTGGTTTGTGTACAATCCCACAGGGGAAGCAGTGTCCGAGTGGGGAAGGACCTGGTTGGGTTTGTTGCTTGGACTGCAAGAATATTACCAAGACTAGATGGGATGATCCTCCTTACAAGATTAATGCTACTGGAGTTGTAGCTCCTGTTGGGTTCAAGACTATTGCTACAAGTGCTACTCATTACAATGGTGTTCGAGAGTATGATGCTCACAGTATCTACGGGTTCTCTGAGACCATCGCGACTCACAAGGGCTTACTTGATGTCAAAGGCAAACGTCCCTTCATTTTATCCCGGTCTACTTTTGTGGGTTCGGGTAAATATGCTGCTCACTGGACCGGAGATAACCAAGGAACATGGCAGAGCTTGCAAGTGTCTATCTCAACCATGTTGAACTTTGGTATCTTTGGTGTTCCTATGGTTGGTTCAGACATTTGTGGATTCTACCCTCAACCAACAGAAGAACTCTGCAACCGTTGGATCGAAGTTGGCGCGTTTTACCCGTTTTCGAGAGATCACGCCAATTACTACTCACCAAGACAAGAGCTTTACCAATGGGACACAGTTGCAGACTCAGCTCGTAACGCTCTTGGTATGAGATACAAAATCCTTCCATTCCTCTACACTCTCAACTACGAAGCCCATGTGACCGGTGCTCCCATCGCTAGACCGCTCTTCTTCTCATTCCCTGAATACACCGAATGTTACGGCAACAGCAGACAGTTCTTGCTTGGAAGCAGCTTAATGATATCTCCGGTTCTTGAACAAGGCAAAACCGAAGTAGAAGCATTGTTCCCACCAGGTTCTTGGTACCACATGTTCGACATGACTCAAGCCGTTGTGTCCAAGAACGGGAAGCGCGTAACTCTCCCAGCTCCTTTGAACTTTGTGAACGTTCATCTTTACCAAAACACTATATTACCAATGCAACAAGGCGGGTTGATTTCCAAAGACGCGAGAACCACACCTTTTGGTCTCGTTATCACTTTCCCTGCAGGAGCTTCTGAGGGTTACGCCACCGGGAAACTCTATCTAGACGAAGACGAGCTTCCGGAAATGAAGCTAGGAAATGGACAATCCACGTACGTTGACTTCTACGCTTCGGTTGGAAACGGGACCGTGAAGATGTGGTCACAAGTTAAAGAAGGTAAGTTTGCATTGAGCAAAGGATGGGTGATTGAGAAAGTGAGTGTTTTGGGACTTAAAGGAACAGGACAAGCTTCTGAGATTCAAATCAATGGCAGTCCAATGACAAAGAAGATTGAGGTAAGCTCGAAGGAGCATAGTTATGTGATTGGTTTGGAAGATGAAGAAGAGAACAAGAGTGTGATGGTTGAGGTTAGTGGACTTGAGATGCTTGTTGGTAAGGACTTTAACATGTCTTGGAAAATGGGTATCAATTAATTTACATGTTAAGAGTTGGTAAAACTATTGGGGAGGAGAATGAGATTATTAAAAACAAACGGTTATGTTTCATTCTTCTCCATTTCGGATTATAAGAAAAGAAAGAATAGAGGTTTGGTTTTTAGATTGTGTCTCTGTCTTTTTATTAGAAGATGTTTTAGTCTGAATAAAAATTGGAAGCACAAGAAGTATTATTATCTTTTGTTTTTGTGATTTATTGACTTCTTTGTTTTCATTGGCTTTAGCTCCTAAGTTCTAAGTCAGAAAACCTGACAATGGATAAGTTTTTTTGTGAATTCCCAAATATTTAAGAGGACCATATATGTTTTCTGACGACATCTTTTTCTACAAGATCGATGCAGAGATATTGGGACTTTCGAAAAAGTCATATGGTTCGTTATCGTTACACACATTTCAGTGAGGTTGGGTTGGGCTTTGGGCTAGGGTTTGGACACTTCTCATATAGACATATACTTAATCTACTCCTCATTTTAATTTTCGAAACATACCAGATTTTAGATCAGTTTTGGAATCATAGATATTTTGTCCACCTTTATTTCAGAGTATATGAGAAATCTAACCAAAGTGAAAACCTTATATGATATCTCGAAAAGATTTTAGTCTAGGAAACCAACCCGATCACATAAAGTTAGATGTATTGGCGGATCATATAAGGCTTAGGCTTGATACTAGTTTTCAAAGAATTAGATCAATGATCGTCCGATTACACATTCGAAATTAACTATCCGTTAATAACTTGACAACAATATTACGTATGTCAACATTTATTGCGCCATATATCAACCCATCAACTGTATTTTGTGTCACCAACTCACCATTAAAAGTGCATAGTTATGTTCTAACTTGTATTGTTGTGTCATCATTTTGGCACCAAAGGACGATGCAATCGCTTGAATATGTCATGTAACGGTCGATGATAGACTTTTTTTTTTTCTCACTCAAATTTGTTGTTTTATGCCTAAGTCCTAACCATTAATCTTACATTAAATCTCAAAGCCTATGTATTTAAAACTTGTCGCCCTCTTGAGTGTCGATGTCCTTATCTCAAAACACATGCTAAAATCTTTAGTAAAGACAACAGAATCTAACAAAGTTAGGCAAAGATCTATGACTCTAAACTAATTCCAAAAAGCCTAGTAGATGAAGAAAAGTCCAGCCCAGAAGATCCAATATTCAAAGCCCTACGACTTTAATTATTCTCACTCACACATCCAAAAACTTCAATTATTCTATAGAGAAACAATAATTTATTAAATTGCTAAACCTTTTTACTTAAGAACAAGTGCTTATACATAGTCGTGGTGAGAGATGGGAAAGAAGTTTCCACTCTCCAACAACTTTTGTAAACTATTATTCAACTTGTCGGCTTTATACTTCACACTTCGTTATTATTGTTAGCTCTGTCAATTTTTTTTTCCCGTGATGATAATTTTTTTATACACTAATATTTGATTTCAGATAACAGTTTCTTTTTAACCATAGCCAAGTTAAAATAATGTTTTTTTTTCTTTGTTGTTAAGGTTTTGACCATGTTTCACAGCAGACCATAAATGTTTTTTTTTTCTTTATTGTTAAGGTTTTGATTTCACATAAGACCAGGAAACAAAATTAGCAATTAAAAAAGATATATTGTAATAAGAGAAATTCCTAACAATAGCCCTAAAACAAGTTTTATTGACAATAATAGCACACACTCCATAAACTTCCAAAAATAGCACTAGTTAACTTACTATTAGTGTTTTTGTTCTAAAAATTTTATCACAAGTTTTTTTTTCAATAATACCACAATTTTTATATAAAAGCTATTCAACAAAATAAATTAGAAATAAATTTAAAATATTATATTTGGGTTCTCTATTTCCAATTTAGGGTATATATTTCCACCATTTAAAAGAGATTTTGATTCATTTTAATATTAGTTTATGGTATTATATTTGGGTTCCCTATTTCCAATTTAGGGTATATATTTCCACTATTTAAAAAAGATTTTTATTTTTAATATTAGTTTGTGGTATTATATTTGGGTTCCCTATTTCCAAATTAGGGTATATATTTCCACTATTTAAAAACAATTTTGATTCAATTCAATATTAGATTAGTGTTTGCTCTCTTTTTTTATTTTCTATCTTATATTTTCATTAAGTTTAATTGAAGTTTATGGTGCTATTTGTAGAACTTTTCAAATGAGATGCTATTTTTGGAAAAAACAACTTTTTTGGGGCTATTTGTGTCAATCTCTCTTGTAATAAAGGCTGTGACGTTGGGAAACGAGAGAAACAGAGACCATCGCAGAGGACAAAAGGGCACGTGGCGAGAGTGAATACGTGGCAGGAGATGAGAGATGGTTAGGTGTGGTGACAGTTTTTTGGGCGGGAAGAATAATAATGGCGGGAAAGTGGGACCAAGCAGAGGCGGCTAAATGGCGGGAAAAAGAGAACAGAGGACAGGCACAGTGCTGCTTTGAGCCACGCGCCACCGCTTGCGTGCCCCACTTACCTTCTTATAGCTTTATGCCCAAGCTCTTTATTTTTATTTTATCTTTTATATTGTTTTCCCTTGTTTTTTCTGTTTTTCTGGAGAATAGAAATTTCAAAATATATATGCTAAAAAAATATATATTCAAAAAAAAAAATCTATATGACACACTGATGATTTGGTCTTTATGCAAAGCCGACTTTAGACTAATCCGCAAAAATATGGGCTTGTGATCGATACTTTTAACATTTATTTTCGGTCTTCATTTTTTATAAGTTAAAATTATGTGATGGTACATTATAGAAAAAATATGTTATATAAAGAAAACAATTGAATTAAATATAAATAATTTAAAATTTTAAAAATGTATCCATGCTTTTACTTATACAAATAAAAAAATGTATTACATCTGTCATTTTTTATTTAATGTTTATAGAAAAAAAATTTAAAACAAAAATACTAAACTTTGTATGCTAATCGACTAAACCTGCTATTATATATAATAAAAAATGAGTTACGTTTTTTTTGGTAAGAAATAAGGGACAATGCCTCCTACATTTTATTCAAACTTATAAAATATAAAAACTAAACTCGAGCATGCCGTGGGATTGCAGCTCCACTAACGCCTAACAAAAGCGGAAATACAACATCTGGACACGTATCAAATAAATGAAGACCAAACGGTAAAATGAACGCATAGTTCGCTAATCCGTCTGCAAGACGATTAGCCTCTCCCTATACACATGAGTATCCGGACTATCATATTGTCATTGTATTATTTTTTTTTTGTCAAAGGGATATTGTCATTGTATTATAATTTGTTAATTTGGGCATAATAACCTGTTGGAATCTTGGCAATCGTAATTCAATCAATCCACAACAAGACGTGTTAAATCAATCAGTGCTAGTTTAGTGTAATGGTAATTGTCTTGCAAATTTAGAACATAGATAATTACACGAAACTCGAAGGCAAAATCATGGAATAGATTGGCTAAAATTATGGCATTACACTGACTGAACTAGTCTTTTATTGTTAATGATCTTTTTAAAATAAAAAAGGGCTAAGACTTGCGAATATGAACTTATGGATTTTTTTGTGTAAACTTTTGTGTTTGACCAAGTGTTAATTTGATTAATTTACTACAAATAGAGTTGTCCACATGAATGCATGCACTGACCTAACACATCTTAGTTAAATCGGCTTATCACGCACCAAAGGAACATTTGGTAACGTGACCAAACAAAAAAAAAACATTTGGTAACATGTTCATGTTATAAAATATTAATAGTTTGGATTTGGGAATGAATATTGTGGGGGAATACTTTTATGGAGCTCACGTGATAGAGCTGCAGGACCATTAGAGGACATTTCTGCTTCTGCGAACTTGGCAGCTGGCGAAGAGCCGATGCTTCTTCTTTCACCTACGTGGTCTTCCCATGAACCCATATCTTCATCTCACGTGCATCTCACATGCCAGACAATTAGATTCTCTACCTAAACCTTTTCATGTTTTAAATATACACTTTTCTTCATTTGTTAGTTATTATTACCCACACCGGGTCTTGTTCGTGGCCCTATTAAATTTTGTCACACATCTAGATACTCTTTACCAATGGTATATGCAATATGGAATTAAAATCTCTTTCTTGGTAAAAGTAAAACAAGTATGTGATTTGGTAAATAGAGGTTTTTTATAGATAAATATACCTTAGTACGAGGAAGAAAGAAGAAGACCCAATGTTATGAAAATTGTAAATTTTATGATATATACCTGTTGCATTGTATAAGATGAAATGAAAACTGGCATAAATCACCGTATTCATTTTTCCAATCACGGTTATACACATACGTTTACAGTAAAAATAAAACACTGAGAGTATCCATTATTTACCGATATATGTTTTGTATACAACTTTAACACATAAGTTATCTTTTTGTTGTTGTGTAATTCCTGATTTCACTATCACTTTACAAAAAAAGGGTATTATGATTACTGTTACGAGTTTGTGTTATGATTGATGATTGATACTAAAACTCGCTTTTAGTAAGATTGAAGCAAACATTGGAAGGATCTTTTTCATACACGTGTCGCATGTGTCATAAACATTCTTTGCTAAATCTTAGCAAAATTACTATATAAAATTAGCACTTTTGTTCCACCTCCAAATGTTGTTCCTTAAATCGACAGCTTGTTGATTGATTATTTTTTTACTTTGATATTTATTCCACGACCACTTCACTACTTTGATATTGTTTAAAGATTAGCAATTTTAAACATTTGAGAATAGAGTGAGTGAAAGTCAAGCCTCACATCATGCATTATTTTGGATTATTTTTGACAACGCTCAATATTTTATATATTCTAATTTTTTTTTTTACTTTTTCAAAATTTTATGCCTTGAAAAAAATCTCTTCAATTCGATTTAAAAGTTAATAAAGTTTTACTTGAAAAGAAAATGGAAAAATTATCACTAATTAGTCAAAATTATCACTACAAAGTCCCTAATTTAAGTGAGCATAAAATCGAGAATCTAAATTTGGTTTGTCTTGTCCGTCCCATCCGGGACAACAGAACTATTCGAAGTTTGTAAATAAACCTAAATTTTAGCAGTACAACTATAGTGAAGATAACCAATTTCTTTTTTAAAAAATTACAACATTCATATTTAAACCATTTTCTAAAGTTATAGATTCTTTTGTTTAGCGAGAACTCTTGCAATCTAAGCAGTAAGCACCTAAACATGTGAGATTTATGCTTAGATTACAACAACTTCTAGTTAGCTCAATTTAATTCAACCAGAATCCAAAACTAATTGTGGCATTCTTTTTTTATAATATTAAAATCTAGGGAAAATTAGATTTAGTTAGATTTGTATGAATTTGGCTGAGATATTATTTATAAATATAGTTAAGATTCTTTACCAAAATTGAAAGATTTCTAGATATTTATCCAAATATGGTTATATATAAAAGATATTTATCCAAATAAGGTCACACATATAAAAAGATACTTACCCAATTAAAAAAACTTAGCTTTTTTAACTTTAAAAAATATCAAAAATCAGAAAAATTAAAATTCCGAACCCCAAAAATAAGGATTACTCATGTAATTTTGTTTTTTTTTGTCAGAACAATGCAATTTTATTATATAATTTATTTTAAGGAAAGAAGAGAGTGAGGTACACGCGTTAGGATTCTTAGGCGGGCCATGATAGATGCATGAGTAAGAGAGAGTCATGCGCCATTAATGTATATTTGTCCCTACTTCTTTCTTTATGCCAGCTAATATTTATTTATATGTCTCCTCAAATGGAAAATTTTCTTCTTTTTTTTTTTAAATTTTCTAATACTACCAAATTAAATATGTAACGCAAGAAAAATTGAAGTCAAAAAGGAGCCACTACAGTCAAATACTGTTATTTTTGTTAAAAACGGAAGATTTATTAAATTCAATACATTGAATGGTAACTAAATCTTTTAAGTTGGGGTCAGTAAATGTGAATTTTGCTATAAATTAGGAATGACTTGCAAAAAAGGTTATATTTGTTTCCCAATTTTCACCATTTACAGTTTCTTATTGGCTGCTACAAGTTCATGATTATATTCTGTATATTTTATTTCCCTTGTTAGTCGGTCTTTTCTTTTCTTTGAATTGTTTACTTTTGACCGTCATTGAAAACAGGGAAAAAAATCAGTACTAGTGTATGTTAAAATCAGAATATAAAGAGCGTGAAAGCTTTATTATTATTATTCACAAGAACAAAAAAAAAAAAGAGAAAGAGAATCAGAAGAAACTCACCAACAAGGTCATTTTCTTCTTCTTCTTCTTCTTCTTCTTGTGATTTGTTTATGTTTTTTAATTTTGCTCATATAGAGATTTGCGTCGTCTCTGAAGTATTTTGTAAAAACCAAAGCTTTTTTTTTAATTATATAATTTATTTCAACACTTGTTTACTGTTTTTTCTCTGTGAAATTGTCACGGATCCTTCGTTTTTTTTTTTATATACTCAGAACAAAATAATCTCATCCCCAGATTTCTTACCCATCTATCTATCTTCTTCTCTGTCTTTAGGGTTCTGGGTTTTAGCTGTTTGGGTTTTATTTGGTCGTCTCTTGGTTTCGTTTCTCACTGTTTGTTTTGTCTTTTCGAAGAACAGGAACAGTGTGTGAAAAGGTTCGGTTTTTAGGTTTTTCGATCTGAAATATCAACAAGAAAAAGGCGTTTGTTAACGCTTTGATTTATGTCGGCTGGGTTTGAATCGACTGTGATTTTGTCTTTGATTCATATCTCTTCTCCGATTTCATCATCATCATCTTCTCCATCATCGTCTTTGAAAGCTGGTCTTCTCAACGCTCTTCACTTCTGCTTTAATAAGCAGAGGCTTGTTCTTGAGACTCCTTCTCTTTCCATGCGCTTAAGACCCAAAAGGTATAATCTTTTTCTTCTTTATCTTTAACTCATCTTCCATTTCTGTACCTTCTCTGATCTGAGAGATTTTGATTTTTGTTACAGGACTTGTTCTAGTGTTGAAGTCTTTGGGGGTTTTCACATAAAGCAGCAAAAATTTTCTTTTTTCATAGTTCGCTGAGAGTTTTGAGTTCTTGATACAAAAAAGTTTTGACCTTTTAGAGTGATTTTTGTTCTTTTTGTTTTCTGGGTATTTTGAGGAGTGGGGTTTAGCAACAATGGTTGAGGTTAGAAAAGAACAGTCTTTGAGTGGTACTAGTAACGAGATTAAGAAGAGAGCTAAGAGAAACTCTGTATCATCGTCCCTTCCTCAAGAAACCCAACCTTTGAGAAAAGTCCGTATTATTGTGAATGATCCTTATGCTACTGATGATTCCTCTAGTGATGAGGAAGAGCTTAAGGTTTCTAAGGTTCGGAAAATGAAACGTATCGTTCGTGAGATTAACTTTCCGTCTATGGAAGTTTCTGAGCAGCCTTCTGAGAGTTCTTCTCAGGACAGTACTAAAACTGTTAGTAAGAAAGCTGTGTCTGCTTCTCCTGCTTGTCCTGGGTTGTTGACTAAGAAGCCTGTTGGTGTTAGGCAAAGGAAATGGGGGAAATGGGCTGCTGAGATTAGACATCCTATTAAGAAAACTAGGACTTGGTTGGGTACTTTTGATACTCTTGAAGAAGCTGCTAAAGCTTATGATGCTAAGAAGATTGAGTTTGATGCACTTGTTGCTTCTTCTCTCTCTGGAAATGTGTCGACTAAAACTGTTGTTTCTTCATCTGAGACTAGTCAATGCTCTCGTTCTTCACCTGTTGTTCCTGTTGAGCAAGATGACACTTCAGCTTCAGCTCTTACTTGTGTCAACCCTGATGATGTCTCCGTTGCTCCAACTCCTAATGCTCCTGCTGGTGGAAACAAGGAAGTGATGTTCGATTTCGACTTTACTGATCTACAAATCCCTGATCTTGGTTTCTTTGCAGAGGAGCAACATGACCTAGACTTCGATTGTTTCCTCTCTGATGATCAGTTTGATGATTTTGGCTTACTTGATGACATTCAAGGATTCGAAGACAATGGTCCAAGCGAGTTACCGGATTTCGACTTTGCGGATGTTGAAGAGCTCCAACTAGCTGACTCTAGTTTCGGTTTCCTTGATCAACTTGCCCCTCTCAACATCTCTTGCCCATTAAAAAGTTTTGCAGCTTCATAGGATTTTCCTTAATGTTAAAGTGAGAAGAGTGTTTTTTACTTCGTTTATGTTATAGTGTATTCAAGACATACAAAAGTGTGTTCCGGAGTAGCAAGTTCTTAAGACATAAAGCCGGGTTTTGCAATTAGGAGTTGAGTTTTTATCAAGTTTTAGCTTATGTTGAATGATGTTTTACTGATTCTGGTTTCTTTCAACTTTGGTTTTTTTCTGTGCGCTTTAAGAGCCGTCCAAAGTGAAAGAGCTTGATGATGAATCCATCCATCGTCAGTTTTATTACATCATTCTCCACTTTCATCTTTTGTTAATGTTAAAACAAGATATTAATGGAAGAAGTTTTTTAATTTATAAATTTTGATGTGTTTTTTTTTTTGTCATTGTTCTTATCGATATAGTTTTGTCATCCTTCAATTTAAGCCCCTACCAGTTGGGCGTTAGATTCTGACGTGTTGCGATTCTAAGAATCTAATGGAAAATGACAAATGCATGAATTTGGTATGGTCACTGTTTCTCTGCTGATTCGCCGCGCCATCACAAAACAACATTATTGTTTTTATTTTATGGTTTTTAGACGTTTTTAATGCAGCTTATGAAATTTTAATCAATAATACGTTTGTTAATTACGTTATTGTTTGTTTTAATAAAGGTTGAATAGTAGTAGTAGTGAAAGAGAGTGGGAATTAAAGAAGAGATTGCACGGAAGTGGCAACAAGTCAGGGGTTTGGTTTTGTCAGGTTTACACTTATTATTTTATTAACTCCCAAATATTTATAACAGCTGTATCGCACTTTGGAATTTAATTGAATGTGTTAGAGCATGATTATTGGTAGTATCTTAGAAATAAATCTTAAGAATATTTAAGTAATATATTTGTAAAAGTGATAGTTAAGATATAATATTTTTGGGTTAAGATTTTTGTGTGATTAATGGTAGGTTCTTAACATGTGGTTCTTAGAAAAAAAAAATTAATACAAAAATAAAATTTATAATTATGGAAAATTTCATAATTGTTGCAAATTAAAAAAAATTAAAACATACATGAAATACAATTTATATGAAACACGCAATTCCATCTCATTTCTCCTCTCAATTCGTCGGATCAACAACCTCAGAGCAGGATTTCGCCGTTTTGGTTTCGAGGAAAAGAGAGAGAGAAAGGTCGAGAGAGAAATAAAAAAACGAGAGGTTTTTTTTTTTGGCTTTGTTGATTCTTCAAATTAATCAGAGCAAGACACGTGCTCATATCTAAAACTCATCAACAACATCTTAAATAAGATATACATCTTAGCATTTGTTTGAACTATTCATTAAATTTAATAATTTTTTCCCCTAAGATATGTGTAAGATACCTCCTATAATCCTGCTCTTATATAATAAAGAAAGGTTGGTGTCTTGGTGATTGAGAATTGAGGAAAAGTCAAAGGAAGAGTGTTATAGTGTATAGTATTAGTAACAACACTCTCCCACTACTTTGTGGTTGCACATGCTTTTGTAGTATTCCTTTTTTCTGTACGTACGGGTAAGCATGTCTCAAGCACGTGATACTGTACTATAAGAACGAGAGGTGGACATGCACATGAAAGTAAGAGGATCTTGTGATTAGCTCTCAAAAGACTATATTACCAGAATATTCATATTCATACACATAATGAATCCAAGTGCTTCTATCTCTATGTATTGGATTTTGGGCTAAAAGAAAGAGGTGATTTTCAAGCCCATTAGCTTTAAAGCCCGGTTTAACAAGTAGTAGTTGACAAAGAAAACATTGAGGGCCATTCTCATTTACATGTTCTATGGTCAGTGTGATTTTAAAGCCATTTTCATTAGTTATAGCTTGATTTTAACTGTCCATTATTCAACAATTGAATGAAAATGTTGCAGCTGTGTTGATAACTACGAATGGAGTTATTTCTATTTGTGATAGATATAACTTGGGTTGTGGCATTGAACCTAAGGGTATAAATAGGCGTCGACGCACACATTGTAAATCACATAGCATAAGAGAGTTTTTAAGCAAAGGGTTTCAGTTTTTTCTAGTATAACAATTGAGAGACCTAGTTCTGGTATGATTCCAATTGTAACAAGATCAGGGTGATCTATTACTTTCCGAGGTACTGTCCAGAGCTTGTATAAGTTGTAATTCCGATTAGGTATAACTTTTGTAAGTGTATTTGAAGAATTTCTAGTAATATTGTTTTTGTGAATCTCTTGTCTCAAGTAATGCTGCATCATTTCTGCCACTTTGAACATTTTGCTAATGCTTAAAAGTAATTGGAACAAGTAAATGACCAAAACCAGCTTATTGAATTTTACTGGAGGCAGATATTAAAAACCAGTTACTACTTGCCAGAGTTCAATCGATTGACATCAATCCATAAATCGACAATACGATGTATGAAAATGTATATATATTCAGACTTTCAGAGCAGACCCTTCTTCTGAAAACTGATGATACAGTCATCAAACATCTCAGGTAGTGACTTGAAGGAACCAAATCCCAACTCATGTATCTTCCTTGTGTCCATGCTATGTGGACTATTGTCCCCTTCTTTATTACTACACCTGAAAAAGAAAAAAAACTCAAAGAATCAATCAACCAACCAACCAAATAATGAAATCTTGGTGAATGTAACGAGAGTGAGATTTTAATACTTGTTCTCAAATGGGTAATTAGGATACTTGTTTCTCATCAACTCAATGATCTCAGACCAATGAGCAACAGAACTCGAACATATGATTCTCCCTGATGCTTTAGGCTCTTCCATAGCCAATACATGTGCAGCAACCACATCATCTATATGCACAAACCCTACCGTAAAATTCGGATACTCTCCAGCAAGACCTTTGGCAATAGCAAGAATCATTAGTAGAGTACTTGTTGGTTTTGGTCCAAGCAATGGACCAACCACAAAGGAAGGATTCACTACAACCAAGTCTAATCCTTTCTCTTCAGCTATCCTCCAAGCCTCTCTTTCTCCTAGAGTCTTTGCATATCCATACCAAAGCTATGCATAAATCAAATCAAAGAAGATTTTTTACCTCAACATTGTCCTAGTTCACTTCAAATTACAACAAAAAAATCTAAATCAAGCAGAGTAGAGAGAAGAAAATGTTTCTCACATTGAAACGTTTGCAGTATTCAGGATCACTCCAATGAGACTCATTGAGAGGAGAAGCTTCCGTGGCATCGAAACGGTACCGTATCGAAGAACAAGAAGACGTAAGAACAATCCTTTTGAGACTTCTTTTAAACTTAGCACACGAGCTCATCACATTGGTTGTTCCTTTTATAATTGGATCAACCAAAGTCTCTTGAATGTTATGATCCTGTGGAACAAGAACAGGAGAAGCAGTGTGGAAAACTCCATCAACACCGTTCACTGCTTCATCAAAACTTCTTTCTACCGTTAGATCAGCTTGGAGAATCTTCAACCTCTGTTTTGCTCCTTGAAATTCTCGTAAAAATCCAACCTTTTCTTCATCACCTTCAATACAAATCAAAACCCAGAGATTAAAGGTGGAAACTTTGAATGATTATTGTGTGAGAGAATTGGGAAATTACGTGGGTCTCGGACAGTGGTTCGAACGGTGTGTCCGAGTTCGAGAAGTGATTTGATGATGTAAGAAGCAATGAAACCAGTTCCTCCAGTTACCAAATACTCAGACATGTTTTGTCTCTTCAAAGAAATTTGATATTGAAATTGCAGAGAGATTTGTGATTAGGTTTAATAAAAGTGAGATTTGTGGATGTCAAAGCAGAGTGGGTGATTCATCACATTCGTGTTCTCTCACTATCACCAAATTTACGTTGGAGATATGATAATTATTTTATTTTATTTCAAAGAAGTGCAGGTCATTGGGCTTTCGAGTTGATTTTCAAAGCCCATTGGGCTTCAAAGCTTTCAAAACTTTTTTTTCGCATTTTAGAAGTCCATAATACCTATGCATGGGATGTAACACACCCATGTCGCATGGGATGTAACACACCCATGTCGCATGGGATGTAAACGCACCAATGTCGCATGTGTTTGTGATGGTTATCAATCGTAAAAATAACATAATCTAATATGTAAAAGACTAGAAGATACAAACGATTCTACTTAATATGATATATCGATCGAAGTACAGTATAACGACTGCGATCAGATTGTTAAATTTGATTGTGAAAGTAAAAACATGTTTTTTTTGCGATTTTCTGTTGAAAATTTGATTTTGTGATTTCTCGCCAAAATGAGATTCCGCAATTTTTGTATTGCTAATGATTTGTATTAGTGTTGTCGATGTGTCATAACTCGAATTCAAATTTAGAACACTTCCAACGGAGGTTTCTGATATGGTATCTACAGATTAAAAGAAAAAAACGTAAGAGAGAGAATCAGAAACGGTTCTCGTTTGAGAACCGGTGATAAACGTGATATTTGGCTTCATATGAGTGGTTAAACTTTTTCTTTATTATTTAAAATTTAAATAAATAACTTATTTATTATAAAAGAATTAAATTAATATATTTGAGATACCTATATAATCTCTTACCGTTGAAGATGCTAGTTTGTGTAAGTTCATTACAGATGAACAAATAATTTTATAAGATCACAAATGAGTTTTTTTCTTAGTCATCCTAATTAAAACTAGGGTTGTGAAAAAACAAAAAAGCGAAAACATAATTTTAGCACCAGGTGACAAAACCTTATTGTCAAATCATTCAGCTCGTTTGCATAATTGATACTCGAAAATAACATATGATAGTGAGAATACTTATGGTCCAATAGTCACCAATATATTACTACAATATTATCAAAATCAAAATCAAAATTAATAAAGATAGTTGGGAAGATGGTCTCCTTAATGATCAATCTTATCAAATACCACCCAATACTATATAACACGTTACACGTCACTTCATCATTGCTACTTAAACTATTTATTTTTCCTCTAAAATGGAACAAACGAAAAATCAACATTATTTTCAATTCAAGATTCGGAAATTTGTTAAGGTTTGGAAATGAACTTTGATTTTGTAGCAAATGCTTAAGTTCTATCAATAAAACTAAAATATAGACCAAAAATCAAAACACACCCACGCTAATACCAAAAACGGCAAGACCAGAAGACATTCTAGAGTTCATCAAAGAACTCAAAAGCTCCTTTTAACTGAAAGCCGCATCCAATTAGATTAAATTTTAACAACCCGCAAAAGATGAAGGCTATTATAACATAATCTCAATGATAATAAGCAGAATCCGATGTATATTAATTAATCACAAAGATAACCTCTTAAAAGTTTGACCACCCTAACTATAAGTAGCACATGAATTTTAAGCATTAGATAGAGGATCTTCGAAACCTACCACATCGATGTCTTAGAGGATTTCACTGTTTTCCTACACTTGTTTAATCCCTAATATTCAATCCTCTTCGAATAATTCGGGGATAGAACCGCCAATAGTAGATGACGAAAAATCTATACGAACAAATACTGCTTCAAAGGTGGTTTGTAGATGCTTACAAATGTTGTTAGTGAGGACAAGGAACAAATGTACTAAAACAAACTGTCAAACTAGATTAATTTTTTTGCACACTTTAATTTTTTCTAATGATTTAATTTTCTTACAAATATAATTGTATTAGTGAACGCATTTCTACCCAACATATTTCCAAACTAGTTTTATTACTTTTAGGGCAGCTGATATTTTCGTAAATTTGTATATTATCGAGCATATTAAAAATCATAATATTATGTAAATTAGTGTGTTATCAGATACAATAACATAAAATTTGTTAAAAACCTGCAGAACAACCTAACCCACTTGAAGTAATGAAGTTACTATGTCCTCTATGTTTTATAAGAAAATTATGAATGGTGATAAAAAAAAAAATGCTTGCTTGTGGCGGCTCTACCATTCCAAGCATATTTTGTAGTATTTTGTTAAATCTGCCAGGCCGATGAAATAATTGATTGCGCAGAATCAAAGTAATTCCTTTATAGGTTGTCTTAAGATAGCAAACAAAAAACAGCTTGTCAAGTTTATAAGAGAATTGCGAAGTTTACCATGAAACATGAATTAAGTGAAAGAAACAACACTTCTGGCATGTGGACTGACATTACAATGAAATAAGGACAATTCCCACAATAAATACAAATTATAAAATAGTTGAGAGTTGCAACGAATTCCTACAATCCGAAAAGGTTCGAGATAACATATAATTATACATTTATTTATTTTTGTTAAACGTCTTAATAGTTGGTTGGCCGCTGGTTGGTTCGACAATCCGTGTATTGATTTTATCACATCACATTATCTTTGTGCGGGACCGTTATATTGTAAGGAATTAATAAAGTTTCAATTAAATTAAGGGAACATACTTTTAACAAAACAAAAAAAAAATTAAGGGAACATGTCTTTGATATTTATATGTTATGTATATTTCATTGTTAATTTCAAGGGAAAATGACTTTAGTTATATATGCCTTCTATAGATTTTCTCAATGTTTTACTCACGTAAAATTTGTTGATTACATTTGAAATTAACTCAAGTATATAGTATTAGCCTTTGAAATTCTTGAAGTTTTCAATCATTTTAGAAAATATAATAGATGCATTATTTATTAATGCTCCAATCAACGAAAAGCAATGGAAGGAACACAACAAATTGATCAAAATGCTGATATACAAAATCGTATAAGACTAAACTTCGATATCACTTTCGATACAAAATGCTCAACATGTGATTTTTGGTTTACGACTAAAAACTTATTTCCGGACAGCGGAGATGCTTGCACACTACAACTTGAGAACGGACTACAAACTACATGATCTCACCGTCTAGGCGTCCACGAGAAATATCAAAAGTTGATGTCCTTGCTGAATCCCCTCGCCAATGTTGATTCATCCAAATTAGAGTGAATCTCGGCAACATTATCAGTGTGATCAAGAATCGATTACCATTCCCATGCTTTATTGAGTACGATCAATGTTCACCATGTATGAAGACTGGCTCACAGAACAAGTCAAATAAAGCCTAAGCAACAAAAATGAAAGTTCTTTAAACATTAATAGAGAAAAGTCGTCCGCCCCAACCATCCTCTACACAACATTCCTTAATCTTACAACATCTATTTAACTAACGCATAATTTGTATTTCATGTAATTAAGTAGTTATGCGAAATAACTATAAATTTAAATATAAAAGTGAAAATATGGTTGCACAAAAAAGTGAAAATATCATAACTGAGAGTCTGAGAACTTATGAATAACGACAAAGTACAAAGTACAAAACTTTTTTTTTTTTTTTTTTTTTTTTTTTTTTTTTTTTTTTGTAGCGATGGAATCTAAATATATTGATGTTAAGAACTTCTGGCAGATTGGATATAATGAAAATTTTGCAAAATATGATTGAATTGTAATCCATAAGAAATCAGAAATTATCTTTAAAACATTTGATAAAAGCGATTTTAGTGCTAAATGAATGTTAGGGTGTGAATGTCTTTGAGAAAATTCACAATTCCACATCTTTATTACAAATGAGATGAGAAAAAAAAAACAATGACGACGAGTAGGTCAAATTAACACACTAGTACATTCATGTTATATTCTGTCATACAATGAGAAACCATAAAAGGATCATTTTATCAAAGGAAGAATAGAAAATTTATCTACATGTTTGATTATTCTGGAAGATGAAGGAAGATTCATAGACTTCGAAATCGGTGTGGCTAATGAAATACAGACACATTATATACATATTAAATGTACATGTCAATCTGGTGGATAGTTCCAAACTAAACTTCTTCATCAAATTTTGTTGGCATTAATGATCTCACTATGGAACACGAAAAATATCCATCCATGTTCATTTTTAGTTTAGAAACAAATCCTCTTATTATTATTATGCAGATTCATTATAGCTTTAAAAGCTTTTGATCTCAATTTCTGTATAGTTTTTACTAGCCTGGTTCTTTATACATGTTTGCTACATAAGGATCTTACAACTTATTTAAGCATGGAATAAAACTTCTGTCTGGCAAAAAAGAATCATAGTAGAAAAGATTTGGACTTTATTTGAGCTTTTGGTGGATTGTGTCTATATGTGAAATCATGGGATCTCAAGATTTGTCTGCTTTCAGTTTCCAAGTCAAACATCGTAACTACTGTTTGATTTTCCCTCATGTTGTTCAATTTTCATGGATCTCAAGATTTGTCTTTTTGCACTTTCCAAGTCAAACATAAAGTAACTACTGTTTCATGTTCCCTCGTGTATTCCCTCTTTCAAATGACACTATTGGGCCCAAGTAGATGAATTTCATAGTAAAATTAAAAGATTAATTGGTAATCCACCGTCGTATTTTGATAACATTTAGTTTTTTTTTTTCTTTCTTATATACATTTATTGTTAGTTTGGAATATCACATGTTACTTTTCTTTTGGCAACAAATTGTTTATGCTTTCTACAATAAAAAGAATTGTTCATGCTTTTTTGATACAATTCAATGCAATTTTTTGTCATATATATATACCTCACAAACGCACATTTTCGGTATAAACCACTAGATTACAAGTTCCGACTATGCAATATCTTTTAACATTGCCTAGAAGATACAAACAAATATAACTGAAAATTAATAATATTATTTTTTTAGGTCTCTAATCTCTATACTCAGTTGGGGTAGTATACCATTTCAAGAGATACCAGAGACCAGTTATTACATGAATCGCCTAAACAACATAAAAAGCACAAAATCATTATATTTTGGTATAGTCAAACATACAATTAATCAAAACCTCATTTGTGAAATTTAAATTTTATTTGATATTTAAAGTTTCTTAAATTAACAACAATAGTTATAAACAATTATCAAACTTTTTAAGTCAAATGCGAATTATTATTATTTTTTTTGGTAAGAATGCGGATTATATTTTAATCTTCAATATCGGTTGTTGACGATTAACCATAAACATTAATTACGTTTGTAAATAGCAAAACATGTACTCTTGTAGATATACTATATACATGTACCGACATTTAAACCCGAATATATATGTATACCTATAATTTCTCTAAATTTCACGCTACCTGCCACGTACATGGGTGATAGGTCCAAACTCACAAGTAAGTTTACGTACAGTGAATTCGTCTTTTTGGGTATAAACGTACATTTATTTTACGCCTAAGAAAAGGATTACTAATTCTTTCATTTATGGAACTAGACAGAGTTAAGGCAAACAAGAGAAGCATATAGAGTTTTGATATGTTTTCTTGGATAAATATTAAATTGATGCAATATTTAGGGGTGGACACAAGGTAATATATGCTTTTTTAAGGTATATTTGCTATTTGAATCGCTTTATATGGGTACTAAAATTATTTGTCTTTGCTTCATATAAACGAATTCCAACAAATTCAAGTTTTTGCTAAAACTAGTTCATTTAATTTACGGGTTATTTACCTATCATATTACTTGCTACTTGCAAATTACTTGCGAATCACTTGTATATGGCTTGATCTTTTTAAAATCTTGTTATTTGACACAAACTTATGAATATCTAAATTATGCTACTGCTATGATAACGACCGTTTTTCATTTCAGAACCATAAGATAAATTACAGCTACGTGACAAGTACTAAGTATTTATGTCCACAACTAGTAACAGCACCAATATTGCGCCTACCGGGGAACGTGAACGTGATCATCAAATCAAAGTAGTTACCAAACGCTTTGATCTCGATAAAACCAAAAGCTGACACGTCTTGCTGTTTCTTAATTTATTTCTCTTACAACGACAATTTTAAGAGATGAAAATTTTTATATCGAAAGAGAACAGTCCTTATCATTTGCTCCCATCACTTGCTTTTGTCTAGTTACAACTGGAAATCGAAGAGAAGTATTACAAAACATTTTTCTCATAATAATACAAAATAATTAAATAGAAAGCAAAGCAAGAGCGTTGGGTGACGTTGGTCTCTTCATTAACTCTTCTCATCTACCCCTTCCTCTGTTCGCCTTTATATCCTTCACCTTCCCTCTCTCTTCTTCATTAAACTCATCTTCAAAAATACCCTAATCACATTTTGTAACAATAATACAATTACACATTAAAACTCTCCGAAGATGCCTCAGGCACCGATGCCAGAGTTCTCTAGCTCGGTGAAGCTCAAGTACGTGAAACTTGGTTACCAATATTTGGTTAATCATTTCTTGAGTTTTCTTTTGATCCCGATCATGGCTATCGTCGCCGTTGAGCTTCTTCGGATGGGTCCTGAAGAGATCCTTAATGTTTGGAACTCACTTCAGTTTGACCTAGTTCAGGTTCTATGTTCTTCCTTCTTTGTCATCTTCATCTCCACTGTTTACTTCATGTCCAAGCCACGTACTATCTATCTCGTTGACTATTCTTGTTACAAGCCACCTGTCACGTGTCGTGTCCCCTTCGCAACTTTCATGGAACACTCTCGTTTGAACCTCAAGGACAACCCTAAGAGCGTTGAGTTCCAAATGAGAATCCTTGAACGTTCTGGCCTCGGTGAAGAGACTTGTCTCCCTCCGGCTATTCATTATATTCCTCCGACACCAACCATGGACGCGGCTAGAAGTGAGGCTCAGATGGTTATCTTCACGGCCATGGACGATCTTTTCAAGAAAACCGGTCTTAAACCTAAAGACGTCGACATCCTTATCGTCAATTGCTCTCTCTTCTCCCCCACGCCATCGCTATCCGCTATGGTCATCAACAAATATAAGCTTAGGAGTAATATCAAAAGCTTCAATCTCTCCGGGATGGGCTGCAGCGCGGGCCTGATCTCAGTTGATCTAGCCCGCGACTTGCTCCAAGTTCATCCCAATTCAAATGCAATCATCGTCAGCACGGAGATCATAACGCCTAATTACTATCAAGGAAACGAGAGAGCCATGTTGTTACCCAATTGCCTCTTCCGCATGGGCGCGGCAGCCATACACATGTCAAACCGCCGGTCTGACCGGTGGCGAGCCAAATACAAGCTTTCCCATCTCGTCCGGACCCACCGCGGTGCTGACGACAAGTCTTTCTACTGTGTTTACGAACAGGAAGACAAAGAAGGACACGTTGGCATCAACTTGTCCAAAGATCTCATGGCTATCGCCGGTGAAGCCCTCAAGGCAAACATCACCACAATAGGTAACTATAATAAACATCATTTTATTTCACCTACATATATACCCTAACAATGATATATACGGTGAAAACAATATCAAGGGGTGGGCATTAAATAATTATTGGTCGCCTAGGTTTGACTTCAATTTGGTTTTAAATAAAAGAATAATTACTCTATATGTTTTGTTATTATGGTTAAATGTACTTTCTTGGTATATGTCTCACTTCTATTGAAATTTAGGTTACTCAATTCGGTTGCATTAAATTCGGTTTGTTCGATAGAAAATTTATGTGGTTTTAAAGTAAGGATTGGTTTGGCTTAGGTTTAAGGAATTATGCTACGGTTTGGTTTTGATATATGAATTTGATGAAACAGGGCCTTTGGTACTACCGGCGTCAGAACAACTTCTCTTCCTCACGTCCCTAATCGGACGTAAAATCTTCAACCCAAAATGGAAACCATACATACCGGATTTCAAACTGGCCTTCGAACACTTCTGCATTCACGCAGGAGGCAGAGCGGTGATCGACGAGCTCCAGAAGAACCTACAGCTATCAGGAGAACACGTTGAGGCTTCGAGAATGACACTACATCGTTTTGGTAACACGTCATCGTCATCGTTGTGGTACGAGCTTAGCTACATCGAGGCTAAAGGGAAAATGAGGAGAGGCGATCGTGTTTGGCAGATTGCGTTTGGAAGCGGTTTTAAGTGTAACTCAGCCGTGTGGAAGTGTAACCGTACGATTAAGACACCTAAGGACGGACCATGGTCCGATTGTATCGACCGTTACCCTGTCTTTATTCCCGAAGTTGTCAAACTCTAGACTGAAAACGTCTTTGGAGGGTTTAGTAATGGTTTGATTTCGTGTTACGGTTTAGGTTTATTTGGTCTCGGGATTTGGTTGAAAGAGGGGATTGAGAAATGGAAGTTAGAGAGAAGAAAAAGCGAAGCATAAATGTTTGTATTTAATTGCTCTGCATATACTTAAATCTCTGCTTTTCATTTGGGGTATTTTTTAGTTTCTCGTGCTGTAATTAATAACTTGTGGTGTATCAAATAAGAATATTTCTCTCTGTTTTATTATTTTTAAATTGGAGAATAAATTTCTTTGTTTTCATCGCTACCGTCTATATTGCTTGATACTGAGTTTATAGAGGCAAAAATATCAGAACACAACAAATTTACTATTTTATTGGTTGAACAAACATAAACACATATATAATTTGCAGAATCCGATCGGAGTATGTCCACTATGAATGTGGTGCATGGATAGTCGTCTCTTATAGATTTTTGTAGAGTGCATGTAAATTGTGTGTTGTTGAATCGTCTGGTTAGTTGTCTAAAAGAGTTGCATGAAGTTGCTCGTCAAGAATGATAAAATCATTATTTGTAATAGGACAAAATCTAATGTAATTAATGGATGATGTCATGGTGATAAAAAGAATACGTGAGTCCATATGTTTTTCGAATAATAATTCAAATACTATGTTTTCCAACACTGCCACAAAATGTATTGGGCCTATATCAATTAGTGCGCCTGAAATTCCAGCTTAAAGACCATGTACATAGCTGATATAATGAGAGTATCATGAGCCTATTAATTATTTTTTAATAGATCAGAGTATCAAGTTGGGCCTGATCAGTATCACTGGAGTGATACTTCTGATACCCAGTATCAGGTGACGTGGCGGCAGCTGATTCGTCTGAGAAATGCGTTTTTCCTTGAAAGTAGAGAAAAAAAAATTTCATATTTGGCAAAAAATGGGGTTAAGGTAATTGACTTCGAGCGACTAAATTATTTTTATGATCATGTTTTTTTAAGTTTTTTTGAATTTTATGTTTTATTTTGCTTAAGTATATTCTACGGTTTTTTAATTCTAACTAGATTTTAACCTGCTGTACACCGCGGGATGATTTATTGTTTAAAGTTAGTATATATAAATTTTTATAAATTGTATCTCCTTATAAAATATTTATGTATTATGTGATGATTCAAAACAGTTAAAAACAAATCAAACAAAAATGATAGAAGAATCATAATTCTAAATCTTAATCAAATCTTCTAAATATCTAAATTATTAAATATGGAATATCCGGTGTATGAGTTGGGTTAAATATAACCCGACTCAAGAAATTTTTTGTAATCCTATGTTTTTATATATTTATTTTTGATTTTGCAAATAATTTTTTTTTATGATACTTAAGCCGGTGTCACCAATGCAAACATATTTAGTAGAAGTATCATAAAAAATCTCAAACAATAAACAAACATTATAAATAATACTAAAAAATTCTTAATGATACTATATACATGCTCTTAGTCTGAAACAATTCGACAGAGATTTGACCTACGAACCAACGCATCATACGGCCTTTTGCTCATCTTTGTCAAAAGGTAAGAAAATCGAAAATAAATATACTTGCATGTGGGAAAGAGGTTTGAGTTCACATTTTCACATGTTAAAGTCTCTATAGTAGTGCAATTTGTAATATAATTATATATACACAATTAAAACAGTAAGTGTAATTATTGTTCAACAAGAATCAAGACATATGATTTTAAATTATAGAAATTGGAATTTTTGAGAAACAAATTGAAGAGAATTTTTTTTATATAAACTGAAATATATTTAGGATTCAATACGCTTGTATAAATATTAATTGAAACTTAAGAGAAGAAATGAGGTTGGAAGTGTGGCAACCCCATTCACTAGGAGTTTAATTAACTGTTTAAGGGTCCGAGCCCTCTGATTTCTTTTTATTAAGAGTGTTCGTTAAAGATATTTAGATTAACTTTTGTTCTAATTAACGTTTTCTCTTTTATTTATTTTTTATTTTAGATATTCTACGTTTTTTTTTTTAAAGTAAGATTTTGAACCCAATTCAAACACCATAAATTCGTAGTGTTAAGGACAACTCAACATACATGATTTCCTAGACAGGACAAAAGTTTAAGGTTAATGATCTTTTATCAAGTTCAATCAATAATCAGTCTCCGAAATAATAGTGTTTACAAATGACGGAAAAAATATAAACATCATTTTCCAAGTATACGAATAATGCCAAGAGTAGTACATGATATCCATCGAGCCTCTTATCTTCTCAAGAAAAAGGTTGATGCCTTTGTTTTTGATGTTTTCTGCATATTGATGTGGTCCAGCACAAACCATAGTTATCCATTTTATCTTTAATTTTCCTTTAACCAAACGTTTTCGGATATCTTCATATCGATCGATTAAGTTTTAATATCCTTAATTATCTATTTATTTTGAGTCTAGTTGGTGTTATAAAGTAAAATAGTAAGAGATCAACTATCGTTCCTATCCCTCTGGTTTTATCACTTCTACTTATCGCCCACTTCGTTTCTACTTTTCATGCCCTCTTTTCTTAAATGCTTAAATTGTATCCTGTATCCATATAACATACTTTAAACAAATAAAAAAACATAGTAAGAAATATCTGTATAATTAGGATCGATAAAACACAAAAGTAAAAGATAATAAAAGATTTTGTTGAATCTTTTTACGCTTCCTAATAATTGGGGATTCAAATGACTTTCTTCCTTTATATCTTAAAAATATGGAAAAACGGTCTATTTCCCCCCGAGAACTATCGTATCTGGCCAGATAGAGCCCGATCTTTGACCTCTGTCTATATCCATGAAACGGAAGTTAAATGTTTATTTCCCCACCAATTGAAAGTTCGAGAGCTTAATGTCCATGAATCCTAAGTTCGAGATTTAAAACCCCATAGCGCTGGGTTTAATTGGTTTACTGTATACCAAACCGATGCTTTAACCACGTAAACCTAATTAGAACCAGCCTAAACCCGTTTACAACCCGTTTTTCCCCCATATTACAACCCGTTTACAACCCAGCCTAAACCATTACCCGAAAAAACAAATCGAAACCTAAAACTAAAACCTAAATCGAAAATCCCCAATTTTCTCTCGACGAACCCTAACTTTTCCCCGAGTTTGATCGATGTCGTTAGCCCTTCACGACCCTGATCTTGTTGGTGATGTCGATCCCGAAGCTGAAGACAGAGATGAGTTTCACATGGAAGAACTGCTAAAGGAGTGGACCGACGAACCACCAATTCGCCACGATGTGTACCCGGAGAGTGATGATGAGGAAAACGCCGACGGTTCTGGAAGATTTGACACACATATCAGGCGTGGTGATGGGTTTTTGTACCACAAGCAGAGTTTTTTCAGTGGGGTTGCGTTCAAAGAGGCGGTAGTTGATTACGCTCTCAGAACCGGCTGCAATATAAAGCAGTACAGGTATGATTCCGATAAAATTGGGTTCATATGTGTTGGTTGTGATGGGAAAAAAGGTGGAGCTAAGTGTGAGTGGAAAGTTTATGCGGCCATTCTCAAGAGTGATAATATGTGGAAGATTAGGAAGTTTGTTGACACACATAGCTGTATCCCTAATGGAGAATGTGAGATGTTTAAAGTGCCACATATAGCTAGGTTATTTGTTGATAAGATTAGGGATAGTCCTGAATTTTACATGCCCGCAAAGATTGAAGAAATAATTATGGAACAATGGAAGATTAGTGTCACTAGGAATCAATGTCAGTCTGCGAGAAAGAAGGCTTTGCAATGGATTGAGAAAGAGTATGATGATCAATTTGCAAGATTAAGGGATTATGCGGCTGAGATAGTTGAATCAAACAAGGATTCACGGGTTGAAGTTGAATGTCTCACGAGTGCTGAAGGTAAAGACATGTTCAATCGGTTCTATGTATGTTTTGACAGTCTTAGAAAGACATGGAAGGAGTCTTGTAGGCCTCTAATAGGCATTGATGGTTGTTTTCTAAAGAATAAGGTTAAGGGACAGTTACTTGTAGCCTTAGGTAGGGATGCAAACAATCGCATATATCCTATTGCTTGGGGAGTTGCTAAAGTAGAGAACACAGAAAACTGGGTGTGGTTTATTAAGCTGCTGAAAGAAGACTTCGGATTAAGAGATGGTGAAGGCTTCATCATGATATCTGATAGGCAAAAGGTAGCTTACCTTGTCTTGTATTTGTTTTATTGTCATTTGTGTCTGTTTAGTGTTATCTAATGTTTGTCTGATTTTATTGTTTTAGGGTTTAATCAAAGCGGTTGAGCTTGAGTTACCAAAGATAGAGCATCGGATGTGTGTACAATTGGTGGACATTAAGCTCTCGAACTTTCAATTGGTGGGGAAATAAACATTTAACTTCCGTTTCATGGATATATAGACAGAGGTCAAAGATCGGGCTCTATCTGGCCAGATACGATAGTTCTAGGGGGGAAATAGACCGTTTTTCCTAAAAATATTCAGTAAAGTTATTAATAGTTTCGTTGTCTCTAAATTTTTAAGATGAACATGAAGAAAATAAAGATGTAGACATATCATACCATAATTAATGTCATTACTCATTATCTTTAAACGTAAACCGACACAACCAATCAAAACCTCGCTTTCCACATAATCACGAGAATAATTCACACTAATCTACTTTTTCCATGGAAAATAATGAAATCTAGCAAAAATGAATGGTAACAAAATCCAAAAATAAGGAGTGATTTGGCCCTTGAAAACGACAAGTGGACCATAAAGATATCCATCTGATTAAGAAGCTGGCCAATCAAAACACTAAGAAGAAGATCAACTTGAAGAACTCGGCCAATCAGAATCGAGATAAGACCTCTTCATGGCCCTCATGGGGTATAAGCAACCAAAAAGTGCATCAAGTTTTAACTTTGATATACAAGAAAAAAAAAAGCTCACATCGTGTGGGACATGTACTAGCCTACGACGCCTCTAAACTTAACCCTTCCAGTGCCTCATAAAAAGAAAATGTAGTCTCTCTTTTTATAACCACTTCTCGAAAACTGAAACCTTTGTAGAGAGAACTCATAGTTCGATAAAACATTCTTTTTGCAACTGAGACTTGGAAACTTGGTTTTACTCAAAGTAAGGTTTCGTCTCGTTGATGGTGATAAGTATAATATGATGAAAAGTTTGGCTAGTGCGGTCGGAGGGAAGACGGCGAGGGCATGTGATAGCTGCGTGAAGAGGCGGGCACGCTGGTATTGCGCAGCTGATGATGCCTTCCTTTGTCATGCTTGTGACGGTTCGGTCCACTCGGCGAACCCTCTTGCTCGTAGGCATGAGAGGGTTCGCTTGAAGTCGGCTAGCTCCGGGAAGAATCGCCATGCTTCCTCCTCCTCACCGTCTCACCAATCTACGTGGCATCAGGGATTTACACGTAAAGCTCGGACCCCACGTGGAGGCAAGAAGAGCCACACGATGGTTTTTCATGATCTTGTGCCGGAGATGAGCACAGAGGATCAGGCGGAGAGCTATGAGCAGCTCATCTTTGAGGTGCCGGTGATGAACCCGATGGTTGAGGAGCACTGCTTTAACCAATCCGTGGAGACAAAGGTCGAGTTTCCGATGATGCCCTTAAGTTTCAAGAGCAGCGACGAAGAAGATGACGACAACGCTGAGAGTTGTCTGAATGGTTTGTTCCCAACCGACATGGAACTAGCTCAGTTCACAGCTGATGTGGAGACTCTACTCGGTGGAGGGATGGAGCGACAGTTTCATTCCATAGAAGAGCTAGGGTTAGGTGAGGTGTTAAAGATCGAAAAAGAGGAGATGGAGGAAGAGGAAGGAGTTGTGACAAGAGAAGTGTTCGATCTAGATGAATCTGAGGAGACTTCTCCATTTGAAATAAGCTTTGACTACGAGTACGCACACAAGACTACATACGAAGAAGAAGAAGAAGATGAGAAAGAAGGTGTGATGAAGAATAGAATGGATGTGGGAGTGAATGAGATGAGTGGTAGGATTAAGGAAGAGAAGAAGGAGAAGGCTCTTATGCTTAGATTGGACTACGAATCTGTGATTTCCACTTGGAAAGGCCAAGGGATCCCATGGACCGCCGTAGAGCCATCTGAAATTGACCTCGACATGGTTTGTTGCCCAACCCATTCCTTGGTATGTCTATCACGCCTTGCCATGTTCTATCTACTATATTTTATACAACCGGATAGTTTATGGTCTAGCAACAAATTTTTACCAATGGACCGCAACCACTGTTATTACTATTTGATATTGATATGAAGAAAGCATTGTCTCTAATTAACAAACTTATATGTGTTGTGAATATTAAGGGTGAAAGTGGAGAAGCTCATCATCACAACCACTTCCGCGGCCTAGGGTTACACATGGGAGAGGCTGGGGATGGAGGAAGAGAGGCTAGGGTTTCAAGATACCGAGAGAAAAGGAGGACAAGGTTGTTCTCCAAGAAGATAAGGTACGAGGTACGTAAATTGAATGCAGAGAAAAGGCCTCGCATGAAAGGAAGGTTCGTGAAGAGATCTTCAATTGGTGTTGCTCTCTAAAGAAAATTAGTTATGGATATTTAATTACTCTGCTCTCTTCTTGCTTTTTTTTTTTTGCTAGTTTTGGTGATTTTTAGCCTTTTTTCCTGCATTCAAAGAGAAATTTTGCACGTTTTTGTGAGCTACGTATGTACATATATCACCAAAAATGTGACTATCTTGTAAACACTGATCTATATAGTTGATATAACGTGAATTTTGATTAATTGGTGGTAATTAATATGCTGTCATATGGATGTCACAAATATCCCACTCAAATATCCCAATCAAATATTTATTGATTTATATAATTGTCGCCAGCCAGAACAAAGAATCTGACGATTTTAATCCAAATTCTACTCAAAATATCACATTCAGGTATAAGATACACTAGTTTTCTATGACAATAGTTCAGTTTATAGTCTAGAACATTTCGTTTAACACCGGGTGAGGGATACTTGAAGAAAGAATAACAATAAATTGAATTGTCACAGTGGAAAATACTGATCGGGACTCGGGAGATATCTTTACGAAATTTTTAAAGAGTTGAATAGAAGACTTAGCATGGCAAATAATAACCGACAAAAAAAAGCATGGAAAATAATAATTTTTTAAAGAAAAAGTGATAAGACGAAATCATATAATTGTGTAGTGTTTTTGTATTTCTGATTTTTATTTGGTTATAGCTGTATTTTTATATTATGCAATTATAAATATGTGTATTTTGGACTATTAAATCCATCAATATTTCTCTTGTTTTCTTCTTCGTTTTTTATCGTTTCCTTTGTTTGTTGTACAAAAAATCTCAATTTTCATTTACATGTATAAATATAAATATACTAAATACAGTATATAGCCTACTATTTAAACTATATATGTAAAACCAACAAAAATGTTTTCACACTTTAACGTCTGTGTTTCGGAAAACAAAAATTTGAGTTTTATGTAGGGATGTGGAGGAGAGTCGGTTTAATTCTAGTTGATTTAATAAGTTGATTGGTTTATTATTAAACCAAAGGAGAAATAGAATATTTTTGGTAATTCTAATTCGTTTAATTTGAGTGAATCAGAAATAAATTTAAGTCTATTTTAACCCTAAAATCTTAAAACCCTAATTCCTTGTCATAATATCGTGGCCACATTCATGGAGAGAAAGAGAGAAGATGAGTGTGGCTGAAAGAGAGAAAAAAGCTTGCTTAAAAAGGAGTTGCAGACAGATCTGGTAGAAAAGAGATTCGACCTAGCATATCGGTTTTACAATTCAATACAAAATATCTAATACATATCCTAATGCCTAAGTAGATTCGTTCTCGAATCTCTACAATTCTCCCCCTGCCCCCACTAACATAGATTCGTCTTCGAATCTAATGCCTCAATCTATCTTCAATGAGTTCAATCCACAATTGTCGCAACAACCGCTCAATTCTTGACCAACCCGGCTAACACAACTCGAGTACGAGGTCAAACACTAACGCGATTTCCAAAGTTTACATTTAGTCACTATGTTTAAGAGTCACATCATAGAAAAAAAACGGGTACGGTCGTTTGAGTGAGCAAAAAGCCTTTAGAGTTTAGACATATTAATGATGACAATTTTGAATCAAAAGAAAAATAAGTTATGGGTTTGTGCAATAATATGTGTGGTCCTTATTTATAAGTCATATGATTCGAGCTGCCGGAGACACTTTTTAGCTTCGAGCTGGTTTGAACGTAATGCTAGACCCGGTTAAGTTTAAAAGTGTGTTAGTATAAGAAATCAGAAAATTTCTTCTCAATTTTTTCATCTTCGTCTACACTCATCTCCGATTTCCAAATTAAACCTCGATTTCTTCCTCTCAATAAGCATGTTATTGTTTTGGGATTCGTCTTTCAAGTTTCAGCTGCCATTTTATTGTGGACTTTATTGTGGACATCTATTTTCTTTAGATGGCAGTATAAAGAAAAACATATAAGGTGCTATAAACCTCTTAGTACAAAAGTTTTTGTTAACTAACAAATATCACATTACAAAATAATCCTACATCCAGAGAAGTTAATTTTACAACTGTTTCATCAACTAATATCACCAAAAATAATAAAAAAATAATAATAACAATGTTACAAACACTGAATCACATCGAGAAAAATAAAGTAATATTGTGACATTTTGTAAAGTACGTAGGAGGCAAAAGTGTATTAAAATGAGCCAATATAGCATTTAAATCATGCATAAATTTTTATGAATTGTTATTGGCATTATAAATAGACAGCATTAAACTCTAGTAAATTAGAAAGAAAATATTTGACGTTATTACCCTTGAGACTCTTGTTTCAGGTGATAGTGAATTTGTTGGATTTCGTGGCATATGAAGATTTTAGTTTGTGTGGGTTTTGTTTGTTTTTGTCAATTTTTGTGTTGTGTTTGGTGGCATGCGAAGTTTTTAGTTTGTGGAGTTTTTGTCGATTTTTGTGTTGTGTTTCGTGGCATGTGAAGTTTCTAGTTTGTGGAATTTTTGTCGATTCTTCTGTGATTGTGTTGTGAGTTTTCGTGAGTTGTTGTTGTTGTTTGTGTGTTCGGTGTTTGTGTTAACTTTTTTACCCTGAGAAGAGAGACATAGATTTTACCTGACTCTTCAAAGACCTGTACATATGCATAAAGCAAGAGAAATATCAATTATGAGCAAATAAAGAGAAAATTACTTCACTCTTAGAGATAAAGAAACATTAAGAACAACTTACCTTAAAATGAAGCATAAAGAAATTCTTTCCTCTCCCAACTCTTCGAGAATACGATTCCATACTTTGAATTTGATCTCTTGCATCTTTAAGTGTTATACCTCTGCAATAGAGATTTAACAAAACTATTTAGAGAATTGAATACCAATTTCTTTTTTACCAACAAATCTATCACTCAGCCACCAAATATCAACCTTTCTAATCTTTGGCCAACACATTACAAAACACAAATTGAATACATGAATATATATATATATATATATAGGTTAAGAGCCAGAAACTTACTGACCTATTTCCTTGCTTCAGTTTACCATTAGAAGTTGATTTTGAAATCTTTGAAACACCTTTTAACACTCTGTCCCTGCCAAAGCTTTTGATGGTTAAAATGGTTCGGAAAAAACACATCATTAGCATGAACATAAAAAGGGAATGGAGAGGAGAGAACATGTTAATCAGACAAACAGATCATGGAGAGTTACCGTGAATAAATCTTGGTCTTACTTTGTCAAGCACAAGAGCTAGTACTAGGCCTGAGATATCTCTGATATTCTTTCCAATCTGAGAAAAATGCACACGACTAATCAGATTCTAGCCAATGAATAGAACAATCTAACCCAGGAATACATACAGTTTCTTGTCCACTGACTCTCAAGATCTCTGTCATGCATCATTCCGCTCTTTCTCACACATTTGTTGATTTTTCCTGAAAGATTCATAGAAGCATAACAAATTGATATCATTACAAACAGATGTCATTACTGATTAAAGCTGATGAGGCGATATAACAATTTTAGATAAGTCACCATCATTACGGTGCTTGCAGGTTTCAGAAATGTTTGGCATCCAGTCCACCAAGTCAATTTCGTCAATCACCAATAAAAAAAAGATATTTTACGTCCATCTGCTCTCATTCTCCGATTTGTTTCGAATATGCTTTAACAGAATAAAAAAGACAAACAGAAGACATGTCTAAGGAAGATTATTACCAACACCAAGAAATGAATCACAAGCAGTCAAGGTGCATTCTCTCATCTGCCTAAAGTTGTCCCTGGGACATTCCTGAAGTAGATCACTGAAGTATTTGGTAAATCTGGCAAGCAGTGATATCTTATAGTGTAAAAAATATTTTTAATGCTTGACATGTATCACCAACCTTGCTCGCCTTCTCGATAGCTGGTCCCATAGCTATTACAACACCTCCAATGGTAGTCAACGTTTATTAGCTTCTGTAGAATTATATTTACGGCTTCGATTTACCCCAAACGCATCTACAGAAGTTTACAAGACTCAATTTCAAATCTAAAGCTTAAAATAAAACTCCACAAAAGAATTTTTAAGTTTAGACAATAAATGAAGATTTCCAATTTGTACAGAACCTTCCAATCAGGACTCTCATATCCCTTAAGAGAAATAGGCTAATCTTGCTACTGACCTCCACGACATAAGTTGATGTTGAAACAGACGTCTTAATACAACTCTATTTGGAGCCACAGTCCCCTGACGAAAAGAATATAAGTACAACAAGAAATCCAAAAATTTAGACAATCCAAAGGGGTTATCTCACATTTAGCTTCAACTTCACTTAGTAGTGCAGGTTTGACATCATTACGGAACCTTTCATTATCTGCAAACAGAAATAACACAGTTTAGTTCAGTTATTAAGATATGTTCTTCTAACAAACGAAAGTTCGACAAAGCAGAAGCAGCTTACGGAATTCATAGTCACCTGAACCATTAAACTTGTTTAAAGCACCCAAAAGTTTGATTCTAGAAATTCTGGTGGCAGCTATATTAGATTGCATCACAACATCCTTCCTAATATCTATCAAATGGACAAAAAAAAACTCTTTAGATATAATGAAAATAACTTAAATACTGCAGATTTTTTATAAACACGGAAATCAGGGGGTGGAAATTTCTGAGTAGAAAAAATTCAAAACCTTAAAAGTTTTCAGAAGTGAGACACCAAAGTCATCAATTACCGAAGCCATCCACAACAAGCCTTCACTAAGAACCTTGGGATTCTTGTTCTCTTTCATGATTTTGTAAAGCTACAAACAGCAGCCATGGATCATCATTGTGATCAAGTTAAAATAAAAGTCAAAGAAAAGTTACCGAACCAGGACATACCCTCTCGAAACAAATCAGGACCAACTGCTTTGCAGAAAGCAATAGGGCACTTCATAGCAGAGGCTAGCGTCTTATATCTTCATCTCGATCACTAGTGCCTGCAAATTAATACAAAAACTCGGGAAAATGAGCTAAGAACTAATTATGCAAGAAAAAATATAACTAACGTAAGAAGACAGCTTTCATCAACTGAAGCATTCTTCATATTCCTAACATGTAATGCAAAGTACGACACACTTAGAAACTTTTCCGCAGTCGAAGATATGTCAGTGATGATTTCAATGACTTGTTGATGAACCTGCATTTCCAAGTAATATGCTCATGTACTACTTTAAATTATTTTGGGGAGTATAATTCTAGAAATATATATAAGAAGATTTCAGACGGAATAACAAGCATACCTGCCCATTTTTCTGCTTCCCACCAGGAACTGAACACAATAAACCGGACATGATTTCCACTGACTTGTCTAGTTCTTGTAAACCTCATGTCTCTTCTTTCACAACCAAAGTTCCTGCACGGCAATTTAATGCAGAATACTTAAGAAAAAAGAGCTTATGTGACATATGCTTATGCAGATTTGATCTCATTTTTAAGTGGTTCTTCATATCAAATTCAGGAACCTTGTACATCAGATTTATCCTATGTGTAATGAAAATTGATGAAGAACCACTTAAAAATGAGATTAACTACTTAAGCAAAAGGCAAAAAGATAAACATAGAAAGAGGTAAGCACTAGTGATGGAGAGAGCAGCATTTGAGAATAAAAGAGTCTTCAAGCCCTTCAACAAACCTTCAAGTTTTTCTTTCCATACAGAGCTCTTTAACTGAGATATAGTTTCTTGTTTTACAGTAGATCCTACTGTTTTCAATCTCTTCGAGACCCATCTCGGTAGGCTAAAAATGAAAAGAAGAATAAGATATTAACACCACAAAAGTCTGAAAAAGGACAAAGTCGATCACAATAACCATTTATAAGGGAATCAATTAGCACATATGAATTCAACAATAAGAGAATCATACCACAATATTATGTAGTCATAACACGAGCCTTAACCTTCTCCTCCCTTACTGCATGCCACCTTCCCTGGAGGCATGATATATCACGTTCCATGTAAATTTGGTCATCTCATCGTGCAGTTTATCCCTGTTTAAGGGTACATTAGGAAGAAAATATTGGAAAAATATGTCTGCTAGACTAAGAAACATCCAAGGAAGAGAAATATGTTTTACCCTGCATAAATTCAGAGTACTTACTTGCTGCTATGGAGGGTACTTAGTTCTGATTGGATTTCTTCCATAGTTTTAGCCCAAAGACCCCTGAAATCGAGCTTATATTTTTAAGATCTTAAATTTGCTTTTGGTAGGATACGATTTCCTGTAAGATCCTGCCAGCATTTTCCAGGGGTTGCACCAGTGCTTCAATTGAGTCTTTGCCAGCTTTTGTCTGGGCAGAGATTTCTAATACCTGCAGACATACACATATATGATTTGAGATGCTATGAACTGGAATTAAGATTTTCCAGCTTGTGTGCATGACAACATGATTTAGTGGAAACAAAGCAAGCAGAAAACAACAAGATTTCTAAAGAAACTGATAGAACTTGGGGCTGCAAATCAGTTATATTCAAGAAAATTACTAGTGATCCCCAACTCACATCATTCAGAGCTCTTGCAAAGTTATCTCAGCGAGAGGAATAACTTCCTTGTTAGTTTAGAGTATTCTTCAAAAACTGCCTGTAGTTTTTCTAGCTGCTGAAATACATAGTGAGCATAGGAAGACTCCACTGCTAATACGTTAAGATGTTCCCCCGTGCTTGAAGCCTTTACCCTTTGTGGTATTCCTTTGCTGTATTTGAAAAGAAATTTCCATACTCAAATAAAGAGACATTCCGATATTTCAAAAGCATAGAATAATTTGAATCGTAAGGCAAAACATGAGAAGATTGTGTAACCTTATTAACAAAGCTATATCCTCTTCTTCAGCTGTAAAAGAGCGCTCGCAACAATGACAAAAATGACATTCACGTGCTACCTCCTCAAAAGATTCAAACATCTGATCTGACGCAAACCACTTGCCATGTTATATTTGCTGCAAAACAGAACTACACTTTTGAGTGCAAGACAAGAATATATTGGAATTCACGCAAACATAAGGGGTAGTGGGGCTATGGAAACAGTCGAGTTTTAAACACAAACCTTTTATGGTAACCACAAACATTGGGATAAGCATCAATGGTAACTGATTCCTGTTTCTAGGCCTGAAGCTTGGACTCAATGTATCTCTCTCTTGCTGCATATAAATACTCAAGTCAGATTGAGTGAATAGATATTTTCTAATCATCGACTGTGACCGAAAATGGATTCCTATCTATGTTTAAATGTCAATCCAGGTACATTGTAGAAACAAAAAATCAAATAATAGGGGTGATAGATGACACCACATTATATTAACATGGTCTAATAATTGGTACCACTGAAAAAAAATTCAAAACCAGTTTATTCACAACTTAAAGCGCTAGTCCGAGAACTGACCAATAGCTATCTAACTTTAAATTATTCATCAGTGCTTACATTATGTATCCTTGTTATGCTTGAATAGGCAAAATTTTCACTGGCCATCTAGCGAAGGCTATCAAAGTGATCCATATTCAGTGGCTGCCAAAAGTTCTAATTGTTATAAGAAGCTGTAAATAAGTAATTCCAACTAAAACAACACACCAACTACACCAAGGATGGATCATGAGATATAAAAATGGCTTAGAATTTTTCCTATTACCACAAACTAATGAAAAATTGATTTAAGCACTAAGATACCTCATCCTAAAGTAAAAGTAAGCTTTGTACCTATGGGGTTTACTCCTCAATATCTTAACTTCTTTCCACATGTAACTTTCCTTGAATCATCCCTGCTTGCACATCAACAGAAAGTTAGTTTGGGTACATGCGTCACTTACAAAAGCTTGAGTGGGACAACACATGCTTACCCTGCTATAACTTGTCTACATGGTACTTTATAATCCGCAAGCCTTGGATCAGAGATGTATTCATCCGATTTCAGATGATCGACTGTGAAAAATAAGTGGAATGCGAATGAAGAACTCAGAGTGTGAAGCAAAATGATCAGCTTACACAACGCAAAAAATATACTGGTGGTGCATAAAAAATCAAAAGACGGTTTGTAATACCAGGTCGTGGTGAGTTGTATGTCAAGACACGCATGCCTTCACCCCATTTGCAAAAGTATGGACTGATCCGATACTAAAAAAAAGTCACTTAAAATGGAGATCCAATTTCTTGTACCACTCTTCACTTCCATGTTTAACATCAAAACGATCCTCACTTACAGTGTCAGAGACGCTTATAACAGCAGGGAGTATATTGAAAGGAAGCAATTTAAGGATATAATGTAAAGTAAAAAAAAAAAGTTCAACAGTTAAGGAAGAAAGACAATATGTAAGAAAGTAAGTGTGTAATCAAGGAAGCAAAATAACCAATGAATTAAGGACCACAATACAGAAGTAAGTAAGCAAGCAAAGAATTAAGGAAGCAAACAATTACAGAGGATCAAACAATGAATTAAGGAAACAAGTGAGTAAACAAACAACAAACCACATAAACAGAGAAGAAAATATGAATGTGTACAAGCAAGTATGCATAAATGTATGTATATATGCATGTAACAAGTATGTAAACAAGGAAGCAAGTGAGTAAACAAACAACAAATCAAAGAGACAGAGAAGCAAATATGAATGTGTACAAGCAAGTATGCATTGATGTATGTATGTAGAAAACAAATCAGAGAAAGAAAACCAGGAAGAAAGTGAACAAGCAAGCAAGGAATGGAAGTAGAAATGATAAATCAAACAAAGAATCCATGTATGCGTGTATGTAAGCAAGGAAACAAGGAAGCAAATTAACTAAGGAATTAAGGAAGAATGACAGAAAAATTAAGCATGTAAGATAGGAAACAATGAAGCAAATTAGCCAAGGAATTAAGGAAGAAAATACGGAAGCAAGTAATTAATTAACCAAACAAGGACACAAGGAAGTAACAAACAAACCAATAAGCAAATAATGAAGAAAAGAGTAAGCATGTAAGTAAGGAACGAAAGAAAAAATAAGTAAACAAAGGATCAGACAATGAATCAAGTGAGTAAACAACAAATCAAAGAAACAGAGAAGCAAATATGAATGTGTACAAGCATAGAAAGCATAAAATAAGTAAGCAAAGAAGGAACTAAGAAATAAAAACAAATCAAAGAATGAAGAACGAAAACCAAGAAGCAAGCAAGAAATGAAAGCAGAAATGATGAAGTAATCAAAGAATCCATGTATGTATGTATGAATGAATGCATGTGTGCATTTTGGTATGTGTGTATCAGTACATGTCTCTTTTCTTCAAGCAAAGAAGACTTTAAATGATCTGCAACATCAAAAAAGTAAACCATAAGAACAAGAACAAGAAACAAACCGGAGCCACAATGATGCAGAACAAATCTAAACCAAAAACAGAGCAGCACAAAACCATTTTTTATCTTCCAGTACCAACCACCACGTTCACGTTGAAGCTACGGCCATCAAGTTCTTTCCCGATGATCTCTTCGATAGCATCACATGGAGGATTTATTGTCCTTGATATTCCAATTCTCGCGATCTGTAAAAACCAAATCAAACAAATCACAAAACTATAACATAGAGATGGTATCGATCAAATAACAAAATCAATCGACCTCTCCACTCATAAAACCAGGAGGATTAACACACAGATTGGGATAAATTAAGTAATAGTAACAATAATCGAATCAGAGAAACACAATTCGTAAACATTTCAGGATTATCGTAATTGCCTCGACGAAACCCTAATTTCGAGAGTTTGATCTCTCGTGTAACAATAAAACACAATTCATAAACATTTCAGAATGATCGAAATTGCCTCGACGGAACCCTACTTCCGGAAGATTGATCTCTCGTGTAATAATCGAATCAAGTAACATAGAAACACAATTCATAAACAGATCAATTGTTAGAACCAGAATTCCCGGAACCCTAAATTGAGTTTGACTAACCTTAGAATCGATAACCGTAGCCGAACTGAGAGAACACGCCCTTTCTAGTGTTTGACCGCCGGAAAAAAAGTATCGGTAGACATTTTGCAAAAAGAAAAATTTAGGGTTTCAGGAAAATGAGAGAGAGATTCTTCTTCAAACGTTCATTTGATTCCGTTATAAAGGAAATTCAAAATTTGAAAAAGAAGATTTAGCTTTGCACAGCTGTACACACATTGGCCGCATTGTGAATATTTTCAGCTTACCGAACAATACCAGTTTAAGGTGGTTCTTCCGGTTTTAATTTTGAATTTGGTTTCTTAGAGATGAGGGCATTTATTTTATTTTAATGACTCCCACACCGGTTTAAGGTGGTTCTTCCGGTTTAACTCAAGAAACACCATTTTAACCGTTTAATTTGAATTTGGTTTTTTGCTTTCTTCATTCACCTCTATTTTCTTTGCGTGGGTTAAAATGTAGTGGAATCCTAATCCAAGAAAAGCAAACATTTGCAAAACCAAACGACAAAATCGGCTATTGCCATAACGCCACAAGCCCACGATTATGGAAGGTTTGGGAAAAAGACAAGATACAGTAACTTGCTCGATACGTTGCTAGTTGCTACATGCCTACATAGATGCAAAATGTTGTAATTGAGAACAAATAAAATTTTCTATATCTTGTTCTGTGGTTTGCATACATGTAAAAGTTTTGAGACGTTTTGGGATGACTTGCATTTGTTTTTGTTTGTGTCCTCAGCTGGGACAATTATGGATTAGAATGAAAAATCTTGGACTCTCCTTCACACATAGATTCCAAAATCATGTATCCTTTCTTACAAACCCGCTTTTAACTCACCACAGAGGACACAAAATCTTCCAAATCCAGAATTGGGAACTAGAACTACTACAACATCAGGAGATCAATGAAAACAAAATGGAGATTCGTTAAGCTTTAATGGTTTATGTAGTACTATGAGTAACTTACTAACAGTGCCCACAAAACACCTGAAAATTTTGAGTTCATGGACTCTAAACATCAAAAGACTCAAGTAGTTTATTTGGCCCTGTCTCAAAATTTGTAGGAGAAGCAAGTAGAATCGATCGAAGGAAGTTCATTCCAAAAGAATACATGGGAATAAATGATATATGAACAGTTACATGATCAGAAATTATGCAAAAGAAGGAGGTGCAAAGCAGAACAGAGGAGTTTGTTGGCACACGTCTCAGATAACCTTGTCGGATTCATGCTTCCATGGCATGATGACTAAGACCTGATTTCATGAAAGATGCATGTGGAATAGGAAGGATTTAACTTAATTAAGCAGTTAATAACAACGCAAGAGGGTTATCAAGGAAGTGATTTCAGATGCTTCTTCAGAGCATACTTAACACACAACCTAAGATCAAATCCCCAAAGAATCATCTTGGTCATGGACGCACTTGTTAGTTAATTTGGCTATACGAACTAGCAAGCTCAACTGATATCCAATAACATTAACTACACTTGTTGAAGCCCACTGAGGATTAAGCAGATAGTTTGAAATCGCTCTGCTCTGCATAAGATAGATCAAAGGAACATAACATTATCTTTTTACAAGGATTATCCCAACCCCACAATATCGAATCAATTAGCTTAGCAAAGAGATAGCATAGAGTGTGCATCATATGTAATCATTCAATGTAGTTCATTAACAATCGGATTATAAATTTTCTTGACATTTAATTAATATAGAGTACATTGAAAACGTAAGAAAAAATATTCATGAGACCAAAGAAAAACTAGAAAATTAATGGTAATGAAACGTACGAAGTAGTAATTAAAAACATATCTGACCGATCAGCTAAAAACGTATATGGAGTAGTACTAGTAAATAGTAAATTAGTAATTAGTAAAAAATTCAAGGAAATATAACCTTCTGTAGTAGTAATATAAGAAAACTATATATTGATAGTTTGTATTGGATGTGACAAGTTAACAACTGCCTTTTAGTGAGTACAAATTAAGTTTAATGATCATAAAAAATAACTCTTAAAAATGAGCTAGTAACGCGTTAAACAAGACATCAACAACTCTTAGTAACACATTGAGACTTCGATCAAATATACCATAACCTAATGATTCACATTAATACTAAATTTAATACACTTATGAAAGCCAGTAGACCAAGTTTGATATGCTTAACATTTTTTTTCCTTCTTTTATATAAAAAGTGAAATTATTAATTAAAAAGACAGAATTATGATAATAACGCTATCTATTTTTGTCCTTGGTCCAAATTTCTAACCAAGTCTGAGCTCTAAGCCAACCTCGTTGATATCGACTTGATCATCAAACCCAAGATTTGAAGAACTTTGATTAAATGGAGCTTCCCTTCCGCTCTCCACAGTCTCCAACGTGAAGTGACCATAGCCATGCGCAGCACTAGAACTTTGGAGCTGCCACGTGTCATGACTACATTCACCTAGTTGGTTCACGGATTCACGTTTGAATCGGCCAGCTTGTGTCTTGCTCTTGTTAGCGTTTACACGTGTGGCTAGATTCTCAGAACTGTCGCCGCCGGTTGTTGGATCTTTAGCCACGTGGCGTATGTCGTAAGTCCTGTGAGGAGGAATGATCTGGTGGGACGCGGATGCACTTGGAAGAGGTGTGTGAGTTATAGGTAAGCCGTTTAGCACGGCGTCAACAGCTGCTTGGCACTGAGCCCAGTTCCCTGACCACATCAAACCAACCGAACCATCTACAGGGTTCACGATCCGACCACAAGCCTCGTACAGAAGTGACCTAAATATTGCTACAAAACACAATGAAGGTTATGTAATCAACCTGGAAAATGAAAAACATTTTGTGTGATGTGATGTGTGTGTCTGTGCATGTAAGACTTTTATGACAGAATATAAAATACACATTTAGATCCTCTGTTACCAAATCTTGTAAATCTTTCAGAATCCAAAACACATTGTCACTTTTTTTCTGTACTATTTATTCGCAAGATAATTCAATGGACCGTTGTGTAATAAAAAAAAGAGATAAAAAGAGGAGAGCATTCGTAATTCAGTACCGGGACGAAGATGATCAGGACCGGATTCAATGAGGTTAAGAAGACCGGCTCGACCATAGAACTTGGCTAGGAAGAGTGTGGCATTGGCTTGAGAGTCTGCGGATTTGATCCATTGAAGGCATGGTCTTATGGTGCAATCTTGGTTGCAACCTTTGCGTAGCACTCTACACCCATTGCAGCTGATTCTCATATTCCTTTATATGTTTAGTAGTGACATATATACGTATTATGTGTGTTTGTGTTTGGAAATGGAACTCAAGGGAGTTGTGAACAATTTGAATTTATAAGGAAGAAGTTACTCATGAGTCATAAGTGAATGAGCTGGTATTTTTCAACTTTTGCGTTTCTTGGAGAAAGTGGTGGAAAAAAACTGGTGCAGTGCAGGCTTTTATGATTCTAAATAAAACAAATAAACATTAAAGATAATTACTTTCTCAAGAGAGAAAATTAGTAAAATATTTGTGTTGATTTCTCAAAAGATAAAGAAAAGGCCAAGAAATGAGGGGAAGGAGGTTGTGTGTTTCAGTGAAGTTGGCATTTTGTTTTGGCAAAAGTTGGGGAGTTCCTTCTTCGGGAATACCAACTTCTCTCTCTCTTACACTTTTCTTCTTCTTTGGGATTTGCCATCCATGCATTCCATTATTACGACTAGTACCACTCACCTTTATCTATATACTATAGTAATTTAATTACGTCTCACCCAATCAAAGGCCTCTTCTTTAACGCTCGTAATCTCAATCCTCATCATAACATCATTTATTCCACGGTCTCATGACTCTCTATGCAATGCAAGCTAATTTTGAAATCTTTAACAAAAAAAAAAAAAGCTAATTTTGAAATTCAAATTAAAGCAAAAAAAAGAAGTAAAAGACAACAAAACATAGTGATAAAAATGTGAGGGTGTTTTCGTAATTGAGTGTTAGCAGAGTTTCAGAGGGGTGGAGATACGAGGAAACTTTGGAGATGAAAAGTGGGAGACATGCACGAGAACCACCCAGAGAGATGATAACGACAAAAAACAAAACCAAAAGAAAATCTTTAAGTCTTAAAATTTTCTGAAACAGAAAATAAAAATGTTAAGCAAAAATGTGGCACGTGAATTACACACGCGAGACAAAGCTCCTTTGTTCATCTTCAATCACCTAATGCCTATAATGCCTATTTCTACTCCAGGTTTTAGGGAGGCTAAAAGTTAAAGAAGCGTTAATAACTTAATATTCCTCATTTCAACTTAGTTGTCATTTGAGGTTAGTCACAAATATTTTTTACTTTTTTTGTGTTTTAGCTCTAATTAATATATAATTTTGTTTGATATTATTAATTAATAAGCTTAAACAATAAAGATAAAATTAGAAAATTTGTCAAAAATTTATATATAAAACATAAAACGACAAATAATTTGAAACAAAATTTAATTTCTAAAACAATAATTAATTTGAAACGGAAAGAGTATGTATTCAAATTTTTTTATTGTTAAACAAATTACAAACGTTACAGTTTTGCTTTTGGGAAGAAAACAAACAACGGGAGCCGCGTGTCGAAAATTTTGCCACCCGTTTTGGTATATATAAAAAAGGTTTTTGATGTTTATTGGCTCTTATGATTTGATTTCAGTAAGGATTTCTTTAATTTTCAGAAAATGTTATGTTACAAAAAAAAGGTTTAGCATTTTTTTACGTCATTTAAAAGATACTTAAATGTTTAAAATAAGAACATGCTTTTGTTATATAGTCCACGACGCCAAGTCCGAGTCCCACTTTTACACTATTACCATTACCAATTTCATTAGTATTGGTTGATTTTCTTAAAAACAAAAAGTTCAATGCTTTCGAAAGACATCATGTTCGAGTTTTTCTTTTTTTTTGGGTAAAAGGTTAAATTATCATGTTCGAGTTTCGTAACCTTTGAATAGTGAATATTAACTGTATAAAAGATAATAGTATATTTCTTTTCACGCAAGCTAAGGCCGGTATATAATTTGATGTAGAAAATTAAAATGAAAAAGGAAATTGGTATAGTTTGGGTAATATTAGTTGTGTTCTAAAACATGATATATGCTAGTTAGAGATGTCAATTGTGTCGGTCCGCGATGAACATTATTTTTTGCAACATGGCGATGGCCAGCTATTTTATGAGCATGAAAATCGATGTTCAAACCCACCTTACCGTGGGACTATATGACCAAGCCCGCGGGCCTAAGGCCCATTTCACACCTCAAATGTTAGTCGTATGGGCATGGCATTGGCAGCAACATTTTTGTACAAGAGAGTAAGACCATACGCAGCGGCATATTTTCTACTGGGGTGTGAGGATTAAAAAAAACAAAAGTAATCAAATAGTAAGGAGAGAGACAACACCCGGGTGTGAAGTAACAACTTTCCTCTCGTCGAGTGTAAGATGACGTGGCGTGCTGTGAGTCACCGAAATCCTCTTTTTCTTCTCCCACATTTTTTTTTCCTCTCTCTCTCCTTTGATTTTCTATACAGACATCTCTACCCCGTTGTTATTATATTATTAAATTGACTTAAATATATACACTCAAAAATGCCCCACTGTGTATGCTCTAAGGTAGAACATTCTACATCATATAAAATTATAAATGTATGTGGTTGTATATACGGAACTATATAGTTAATACTTTTTGGTCAAAAATATATAAATAAAACTTGTTAATACGTATTGTCATAAAACTTAATAGTAAAATATAATATAAGTTAATAAATAAGACGGAAAAAAATACCAAAAAGACTTTAAATCTCAAAGAATTAATAAATATCGAAAAATAGTTTAATTCAGTAGGAAAAATACATACTAAAATTTATTTTAAAAAAACTGTAAACAAAATGGCATCATTTGTATTAGAATTAAACGACATTTTTTGTTTCATGACTTCTAAAATTGTAGATGTCTTATATACGATAACGTATATATGTTTTATAAATAACGTATAAACTTATGGTCGTTTTACTATCTCTGCATTATTAAATTCTACATAATAAAATAGTATAGTTTCTCACCATATCTGGTATATATAGTCATACATACCGTATTTTAAAACAATATAATTTTTAAGTCATTGAAAATGATATTAGATCGATTAAGAATTAGAAAAAATTGAAGTTATTTAATTTGAGAATTAAATTCTGGATTTTTCTTCAAAATCTAAACAACTATATCATTTTAGTTGGAGATTATATTGAGAAAAAATATAGACTGAGAAAGTGGAAATACTTTTCGATAAAAAGAACCGTTTGGGGTTTCGACAACAATAGAATGGATTTAAAATGGGTTTGAAGTTCAAATCAGCTTAGTGTTTCATTTATTTTTCTCTATGTTGGTCAGCAGTCGTTACTCGTTATCTAAAATCTCATTTATTTTGCGTTGTAGAGTCAAATGAACTTTTAAGATCTGATTCTGTTCGTGTTTTTCAGGAACTTTTATAGTGAAGATCCGAGAAAATCTTCTTCTTTTTTCTTGCGAAATGGGTTTCCTCTAAAAATGAATTACGAAGTTATGGTGATATCTGCGGTAGGTGTGGATGTAAACCAAGTCTACTAGAAAACTGTCAGGTAAAAACATTGATTACAATGATCAACTCTAAGATTGAAGCTGGGATGTCCAAGGTTGGTAACTTGGTAAGTGACAATCCAACTATATTCGTTTCGATTTGTTGAAAAAAGTGACACGCCACACCTCAATTTCTTTGCGAAAGAACCAAGACCGTAAATACAAAATTGTTCGAAGGTTGAACCATAAAAAATGCATGAATATTAATATAAATAAAATATTTAAAATTTGAAAAACAGTATATAAATGATTTATTTTCCCTCAAATATAATTTGTGTCGAGGTCGGCTTGTGTTGTCCTTTGAGATTCGACTCTTATCATATCCTTATGTGTATATATATATATATAATATACCAATGGCCTTTTGTAAAACAAACTCTGGACATGAAAAAATAATAATGTGATATGCCTCACAAGTGGATCTCATATATTGTCTTTATATGATAAGGTAACAAGTGGCCCTTGTACTTTGAATCTTTGATTGAGTCGTTATAAATTTGCAACTTGTTTTCTGTTATAACTGGGAACAACTAGCCAATTAAATATCAAAACTCATCTGAGAAAATAGTGAACTTTGGGAAGGTCGGCATTATGATCCGAAGTGTTAAATAGGTCCACATTACTGCATATTTGTTTTGATATGAACATACTTTATACTCCCTCCGTTTTCGAATAGTTGTCGTTTTAGAGAAATTTTTTTGTTTTTAATTAGTTGTCGTTTTCAGTTTTCGATGCAAAATTTATTATTTTTTTATTTTTTATATTTATTTTTATTATGCAACTTGATTTACTATTGGTTAAATTATGTTTAGGTAGATAATTAATGATACTTTTATATTGAAAAACTAACAACATTAATAGTTTCTTAATTTGTGTGCATATAGTTAAAACGACAACTATTCGAAAACGGAGGGAGTATAATAGATATGTAGGAATCTCTCGTATTTGTAACGGAAAGTTCAATCTTCTCTTAAATGAAGGAGGAATTTCGATTCATGATAATCCAAATTCCAAAGGTAGCAATTCCGACTAATAAATTGATGAGAGTGAAAACACAAAAAAAAATGGAAAAATTATTTTTGATTCTCATAAAATTAGAGTTATAAGATATATTTACATTTATATAGAGAGATAGACATTAGACATAACATAATAATAATATGGTAAATCACCAATATCTACTTTTCCTTTTGATATCTCAACACACGAAATTAGAGTGTAAAAGAATGAAGGGCTAATAGAGGTTACCTTCTCCGCAAGTTGATGAGTTGAGATAAGATAGCGAAATTGTGCCACGTGGCGGAATCTATGGTTAAAGAATTCTTCACAAAGCTCTTCAATTTATGACAAAGTCTGATCATGTGGCCGTGGACGACTAATCCATCTTAAATTGAATAAATTGTGTATATAAAGACAAAAAATACAAAAGAGAAAAGTAGTGGCTTCATCAGCTGTATCATCGGCAAAGACATTTTCCAACCGGGCACCAACTCAAGCCATATGGTCGCTCCATTCACCGGCCTCAAGTCTTCGGCCACATTCCCGTGACCCGCAACACCAACTGCGATATCACTTCATTGGCATTTGGCTAGTAACAGTGATAGGGTCCATTGCACGCAAGTCCGTTCTAGATTCCTAGTCGAGATATATAACACTCCCACTAGTATAGTATATCTACATTTCAATATTTATTTGTAACCATATAGTTTGAGAGGTAACCAATAAAGTAAATCAATACAATCACGTGTTTCATATTTATTGGTAGGAAGTGTAAATGGTAATGTAGGTGGATAGGCTATTTTAAAAGTGTGCCTAAGATGCAGATGCACAAGCTTTAAAAACTTGTTAATTTTTTGCTTTCATTTGAAAATATATTATCAAAAAATGATTACAGAAGAAAAATCTTACGACGTAGAACGATTGGGTAGAAGCAAACGTTGACTCACATCAACGAGTAAACGATACAACAGATGAAGCCAATAAATGAGCTTAAGAGATGATAAAGTGCCAGTTAGAAAATTTATTATTTATGCATAAAGCCCCAAATGATATTTTGTATTTTTTGTTCCTATTGGAAAAATACACTTGTATAGGTTATGCACAAAAGTACGAGTGTATGACACTCATAAAGAAGAAGACAGACGAAAACTTGCTTTTTATTAAATTACATGGCTTAAAAAGGTTTAAGTGAGTTTAAACCCGAATTAAAGATAATTTAGTAAAACTGGTCTTTTTATAGTGGCAATAAGCTCCATGATTTTCAGATAATTTTTTGGTGTGAACCATTAATTAATCTTATAATAATCTCTCTAAATTAATTAGTCGTTAATTATTTCTCTAAACTAAACAACGTCGTTTTGAATAGCACGGGTTTGTGTACCGTGAGCACAATGACCGGGGTACTACGACGGACGTTACTGGAAATTAATTTACATGGTCTATTATCACATATTGTTTCGTCCGGTAGAAAATTGATATCTTCTGAACCGAACCACAAAGAAAATCTACCCTGGTTCGACTTTTATCAACTCGAGTATACCTAACCAAACTACCAGGCTTCTTATTGACTTGTATCTAATAAACCAAATTTCAATTCCTTATATGGGAATTGGATTCAAAAGTAATAAACCGGAACCGAAGCAACATTCAGTTGACTTGTACCCGGATATATCTATTATCTAACAATTTAATGTGGGCATAGTGGTCACTATGAAAGGCCTATAATATTTTGGAATCTGGTGTGAATCACTCCTGAGTCTTGATACAAGCCAAGGCAACGGCGTCTATAAATATAGAAGATAAATATATGCATTTAACAGTATTATTAAAATATGAACATAAGTTTTTATAAACGGACTAACTCACAAATCTAGACAATTGATTTAAAAAAAGTAAAAAACCCATTGGAGGATAAAGGAAAATTATCTAGAAAGGGAACTATAACCCGATTATTTTTTCGTACACAACAAAAAGTTAAGGACTATGAGGAATGAGTTAGATTGTGGATGTTCCAAATATCATCGTTCCATACAACATCATTGAACAAGACACCATAGTTTCTTCCCACGAACTCAACGTCCCAAAAAGGCAACCACACAGAGCTCCACGTCATCTCCTCCACCACTCCACCGCCCCAACATTGCTCCTCCTCTTCCGCCGCTGTTGCCGCCGCTGCAGCAACCGCAACCGCCATGGCTGCAGCAGCCAATGAGTGATCATCATCATCAGTCCCTTCTTCCTCCATATCTTTTCTCTGTCTCTTCATTTAAAAGTGTTAGTTGTGATCTTAAATAATGAAGAGTGAAGTCGAGGTTTATTTATAAAGGAGAGGTTGAGGAAGTAGTTAGTGGAAGAAGACATATATGAGAGTTGGGTTTAGAGAGAGACGTGAAGATTTGTTTTTGAATTCTCTTACCGACATTGGTTTCACGTAAACTCAGTTGCCTTACGTCACACTCACAACATCTGTCTGCTTCCTTTTGCCCTACGTGTCCTCCTTCTTTTTCTCCTTTTTTCTCTCCCACTCCCAAATAACTTCTGCAGTTAAACCAAAATATCTGGACATTGTAAAAAATGATACAAAAGTATAATTATATTGATTAAATTGGAAATTTTGTGATTAAATTCATCTTAATGATTAACTGAGGATGATTAGTAGGAGTAATTTAGTTTTGCATAAAGTATAAGGGTAAACGTAAAACTAAACAAATAATTATGTGATTTTTGAACAGGAGTTGATGCTTCCGATAATTTTACCCGGTTTCGAGCTCAACTTCAGGTTGACTTCTCCGTTTACTTTATATACTTTGGACTTCTTGAAAAAAATAGGAAAATATCCTAAAAAATACTCTTTGTATTTTTTTGACGTTTAAGACCCAAACGTTTTTGGTTGAAAAAAAAATTCTTATTTAATGTTACCACCAAACCTTGCTATTATATTAGTAAAATTTCGAAAAAAGATTATATACATCTATTTAAACATATAGAGTTAAGATTTTATGTTGTTCAATGATCCAGTAATGCCTCGAATCCACTTATAATTCAAAAATAAGGTATTTTTAGACCAAATATATTTAAATGAATTATTTTTCTTCCAACCAGAAGAGTTCAGGTATTAAATATCCAAAAAAATAGGTGGAGTATATTTCCTATTACAATCTAACAACGTTTATTTATTCTGTAACGCCCGTTAAGTCACAGATTTGAATCCATCAATAATTTAAAATGAAGTATTTTATATCAAATCTAATTGAATGAATTATTATTTACCAACCAAAAATGTTAGGATTTTAAATGTTCAAATACAAAATAGATTGGGTATAGATTGGGTATTTTCGGGGTTTTTCCCAAAAAGAAAATATATACTTAGGCTTGACTGGTTTAAATGTAGCAGGTGCGGTTGCGACTGTGGGAGTTTGCAGAAGCGGACCGTTATGGTTTCAAATGTTATTAAGCATTTTGAACGACTGGTTCAGTGGTTAAAAATTGGTGCGTTTGCGGGAGTTTTGTGATTGGTTAACCAGCGGATGCCGACAGCGTGCGATTAAATTAAAAATGACCAAAATAAATATAATCTATAATTTTTAAAATTATAAAACACCAAAAATTTATATTACCATGATTCAATATAAAATTTTTAATATAATTAGCAATAAAACCTTATATAAAGTTCTAGATAATTATTTTAAAACAATAAATTTCATAGTTAAATGCTTATTACTTCATGCATTTGGTTCATCATAAAAACTGCATCAAGTAATATAGTAAACTACAAAAAAAAATAAGTTTTGAATTTGTAGATCTTCTAAATTAATAATATTATTACAATACTTACATTCGTATCTTATCATTCTTCAGTTTAGCTTGACAGCATGAGTTTGATAAAGCAAAATAAAATTAGAGTTTTGAGAAAGAGTTTTTGCAATTCAGCGATTTCTAATGATATAGAACGGTCCGAAATGGTTTAAACGATTACTATAATTGATTTTAAACGCTAACAACCGCAATCATATGCAAACGCATCATTTACAGGTGATAGCAGAAGAATCAATTAGTCAATTTTTAAAAATCAGCAAAGTGATCAGCAAATCAGGAAATGATCCGATCTGTAACTTAATTTATTATAATTATTTTTATTTAAAGAAAAGAGCATGTTGCATGCTTACTCCAACCATAGAACACCAAAACACCAAATTTGGTGTTTTGGTGTTCCATTTTTTTTTCTATCTCCAACCATAAACACCAAATCTCACACCAAAAACAAAACTTTTCTTATTATATTATTAAATTTAAAATTCTCTTTATTTTTAATAGTTTGATAAACACTAATTATCTTTAAAACTGATTATTTTATTTTAATTAATATAAGAATACAATCGATAAACTAAAAATAATAGAAAATACATTACATTGTACTAATTCTCAGAATTAGTATATTCGGACCACAAGTGCTCAATTAATGCATTTCGAAGTTCAATATGAGCTTCCCGGTCTTTGATTTGCATGTGTCGAGCTAAGAATTCCTGAAAACGAGCATCATCGTGACCTGCTATTTCTACTTCTGCAGTTGAGACCTCGGCTCTTTCTTCAATTGTTGCATCAAGATCACGTTCATCCTCTACGATCATATTATGCATTATGATACAAGTTGTCATTATATCATGTAACACTTTCTTATTCCAGAAACGTGATGGTCCTGCCACAATTGCAAATCTTGACTGCAATACTCCAAATGCACGTTCCACGTCTTTTCTACATGCTTCTTGCATCTTTGCAAATAATTTCTTTTTGGGACCACGTGGATCGTGAATTGTTTGAACAAGAGTAGACCATTTTGGATATATACCATCAGCTAGATAATAACCCATATTATAATTTTTTCTATTAATAACATAATTAGCGGGTGGAGCAGTTCCTTTGAGCAGAAGAACGTCAACAAACCAAAAATGAAGAACACAGAGAAGGTTCTCAAAGCCAATATCATGGATATCAATATCGAGCATCCCAAAATCAAAGAGATTAAGCTCATAGAGAAGATGTTCAAGAACAACAACCTCAAGGTGAAGACCAAATATCACCAAATGACCAACAAGATTTTACTCAATACTATAATTATCTTAGCGGAAATGGTTTTTTCGGGTATTAGATTATTGTTTTAAGGGAGACTCACAAAAATGCCCCTTTTTCAATGCCCCTTTTCAAAAATGCCCCATTTGGCTGTCCATTTTTAAAAATACCCTTTTTTATGTACAAAATGACTAAATTACCCTTCTTTTAATAAAAGATATCACAAATATATAAGGAAATATAACAAAATTAGGTCCACAAAATACAAAATATTTTTTGGCGGGAAAAGTGATCCCGTAATTTTTCCCGCCAAAACACTTGTAAAAAGTTGTAAAACCTTTAAAATACCTTGTAAAATTTTCCCGTAAAATTTTTTCCCGTAAAATTTTTTCCCGCCAAAAAATATTTTTTGCGGGAAATGTGATTCCGCAATTTTTTTTGGCGTTAAATTTTTGGCGGGAAAAATTTACAAGGTATTTTAAAAGTTTTTTACAGGGTATTTATAAGGTTTTACAATGTATTTTAAAAGGTTTTACAACGTATTTATAAGATATTATAAGATTTTACAAGCTATTTTATAAGGTTTTACAAGTTATAAGGTTTTACAAGTTTTTTATAAGGTTTTACAAGTTATAAATACCTTATAAAACCTTATAAGTACCGTGTAAAACCTTTTAAAATACATTGTAAAACCTTACAAAACACTTGTAAATACTCTGTAAAACCTTTAAAATATCTTGTAAATTTTTCCCGCCAAAAAAATTGTGGAATCACTTTTCTCGCAAAAAATATTTTTGGCGGGAAAAAATTTTACGGGAAAATTTTACAAGGTATTTTAAAGGTTTTTACAAGTGTTTTGGCGGAAAAATTACGGGATCACTTTTCCCGCCAAAAAATATTTTGTATTTTGTGGACCTAATTTTGTTTCAAATAAGGGTAAAATGGTCATTAAAAATTAAAAGATGGCAAACTTAAAAATAGACTCTCAAAGGGGGCATTTTTGAAAAGGGGTATTGAAAAAGGGGCATTTTTAACAATTTCTCTTGTTTTAAATTTATTTATGTCTTTTAAAATTATCTTATTGCATTAGTTTTTATGTTTGTTTGGTTTTAATTTTATAATTTTATGTTTTAGTGTTTAATTAAACTTTATTATGTGTTTTTAATTTTAATTAATTTGATATTTATTTAGAAAATTTGTGCAAATAATTGTTTCATATTAATTTAATTAAAATTTCATATTATAAAATATGAGAACATACAAAAATGTTGATGGTATACTTGTCTTTTCTTTGATAAACAATAATTTAAATATAAAACTAAATCAAAAATACAAATAAAATAATAATTTTTTTTTTGGGTTTATATGGTGTAACACTGTTCATAAAACACCAAAAAAAAAAATGGTGTCCATTATAGTGTCACGTTGGAGTTGAATTAACACCAAATTTGGTGTTTTGGTGTCTCCTTGGAGATGGTCTTAGCTATATACATTCTTCATTTATTTAGATTGTAAAAAAACAATTTATTTGGTTGACAAAAGAAAGCAATTCAAAAATAAAAAAAATTAAAGTAGGGAGTGTTTTCATCTTGTATATGATCTTGTTTAAGGATATTAAATATATAAAAGCGCGTGATATTATTTTAGATCTTATATTATACTAGTCATAGGTAGAATTTTTAACAAAGTGCCTAGATAATAGTAGTTGTTCTCAAAAGTGAATATATAATATATATGATTGATTTGGAATCCAATGACCTTCGGATTTTAAAACTCAGTGTCGACGGCGTTTTTCTTTGGTTGAAATTTAGCCACGTCGTCTTCTCCTCCAGTCCCCACCAGCCACCAGGCCACCATAACATTAGGTATCTACTTTTTTTTTTTTTTTACGAACATTAGGTATCTACTTATCAAGCCATATTCTCTTATATTTCTAATTTTAAATAGTTTTAACTAAATTAAGCAGTTGGTGTATGCTTTTAGCACAACATCCACATATTAGGCTCCGAATGGAGAAAGCGTATCGGGCGGAGCGGATCAAGCGTACCAAGCAGAACAAAAGCGGATCAAGCAGATCTAGCGGTACAAATGCGGATCAAGCGGTTCGAACGTTTTAAATATGTATTGAATGGTGAAAGCGGATCAGGCGATGCGGGTGAAATATTTATATTGTAGAAAATGTTAATTTTAAATAAAATATTTACATAAACAATACACACTA